GAACATGCGAATCTTAACGAGTCGACGACTAAGTTTTGGAAAATTTTTTAAGAATAAAACAACATCGTTTAGGGGCTGAATAAATAGTCTAAAGTCATCTTTTTCTTCGGTTTTTCTTTTTGCCGTTTCTCTTTCTTTTTTTCTCTCTCTATCTTCTCTCTAAAATTTGGCACCGATAACGGCAAATTTGACCGTGTTATAAAAATTGACATTGAAAAATTGAAGTGCTTAGTGAAAATTTCAAAGGTCACAAAAAATTTAAGCTTTTTCCAAATTTTACCTAAAAAAAGAAAAAAAAATCATAAATGCCAATTCAAATCTTTTAAGCATTCTAGATCATTCAATAGAATTGATTTCTTCAAAATTAAACTGAATCAATCTCCAACAAAAAATCAAATCTCTTCAAATTAAAACCCTACTACCAAGTTATTTTTTTACTTGTTCTTTCTTTGTGATTATCTCCTTCTGTCATGATTACTGTGTTGAATACTTAGCTATTTATAGAGGCAAATCAATAGGGATTTCAATTCATGTAGTATTTCAAACTTAAAAATTGAATTATTACCAAAACTTAAATTTATCTTAAAAATAAATCCCAATCAAATTTTTAATAGCTTAAACTCTATTCAAACCTTTTGAGAGGCAAATCAATAGGGATTTCAACTCATCTAGGATTTCAAATTTAAAAATTGAATTATTACCAAAACTTTAATTTATCTTAAAAACAAATCTCAATCCAATTTTTAATAGCTTAAACTTTATTCAAACCTTTTAATTTTCTATTTTTTATCAATATAAAAAAATAAATGAGATAAACTTAAGATAAAAGAATAAATAAAATTAAGATGAAATTGAGGAATAAAATACAAATAAAGGTGAAATAAAGATAAATAGGTAAAAAAAAACAATTATAAAATATAAACTATGAGATAATAATAAATACACTTATAAAATAAAATAAAATAAAGTGAAATATAGAATTGGATCTTTAGGTTTAAATCTAGATCGAGTTTAACAAATTTAAACTCGAACTAAATAGAGTGTTTATAAAAACAATTAAATTTAAACAAAATTTGAAGATATTCATAATTGTATTTAATTGATTTATAATAACAAATGCAATAATTATTTAGTGAAAATTTACAAGTTATAAGTGAATTATGTAAGATAAATAATGATAATGGACAGTATATTGTTTATTACTTATGAGTTGTTTGAAAATATTGAATTTATTGTAGTCGACTATTGATAAGTGAGAATGACAAATTTGGCAATAAATCTAAATGGGGTAGGAATTGAAATGCAACAACATGCCCTCCAAATCAGTCATTACCGCGCCAACATTGCATATTTTTAGATGGCATTTTTTCCCAAGTTTTCAGTTAAAAGGAGGAATGATGTATAGAATTAAAAGAGCTAAATTACTAAAAAAAATCATGAATTATTTAATTTTTAAATAAATTTTTATATTTTTGTTAAGATTAAATAAATTTTTATTTTAAATAAAAGATTGATTTATATTAAATAAAATTTTATATTTTTGCTATATTTAAATAAAATTTTATTCTTTAATTTGTATTTAAGTAAGTTTTTATTTTAAATAAAAGATTGATTTATATTAAGAGATTATTTAAATATAAATTAAAAGTTTTGATGTAAACTAAAATTTAAAAATTTACTTGAGTGAACAAATATAAAAATTTTTCTAAATAAGATAATAAAATTTAAGGATTTTTGTTATTTTAACTAATTAAAAGTTGCTAATTGATAAATAGATACGATAAAAGTATGATAGTTTTCAAAAATGGCAATCGGTCGAGTCATGGTGAATTTTTTTTTTTCAAATTTTATTCGATTTTATATTAATAAAATTTGAATTTGAATCGATCCGAATTTTTTTTTTATTTTTTATACTTGAACTCGATTGATTTAATATTTTATAAATCGTATCTAATTTATTCGATTCTGAAATTAATAAAATATTATTTTTAAAAAATATAAAATATTATTTTTTAAATATATAAATATATATAATTAAATAATTAATTAAAAATTTTTTTATATAATATTAAATTAGATCAAATTTATCTAAAACTCGAACACAATTTAATTTTAATTATTTTTAACATTATTTGACTCGATCCAAAATTTAATTTTAAAAAAAATTAACTCTATAAAATCAAAATCGAATTTAAATTTGTTAAGGGCGGATTAATTTGTAAACCATAATTTAACGATTTGTTTTTTTCACTAGCAAAAAAAATAAAAGCAGTGATGTGAAGTTGTTGAATCAGTGAATTGACATAAAAAATTAAAATAATCGATTTTTTTAAATTAAAAAAATAAAGTTAAGAAAATCTAAAATTTTTAATTAAACCATTGCTCACCTTTATCGCGTGTAAAAAGCCCAAAGTAAATTTCGGGTTGTGCGTGTGTGTATGTGATATGGTCGTGTGGACGGCGAGGGTTGGTGGGATTGAATGGCAGAGGAGAGGACACAGGGCAGTTTATCAGCCCATCCCATCCTTGGCATTTGGCATGAATATCTTTCATGCTTTTCCAGGTAATTGAGTTTAACCTCGCATCTAATTTAAAATTAATTCGTAATAGATAAAGGATTTCTATTAAATTCAACATTTAACAGATGTGGCAAGGGGTGAAAAAAAATTTTAAAACTTAAAAATTAATTTAAAATTATAGTATTTAGTTTAGTCTGAATTGATTTTTATTTAATTTAAATTAAATTTAAATATTAAATATATATTATTATCAAATTAAAAATTAAAAAATAAAATAAAATAAAATGAATTAAATTATATATTTTTATTAATTTTAATATATTTTAAAATTTTTATAAAATAAATATAATTATTTTATATTTAAATTTATTCAAACATATTAAAATAATATATATATATAAATTAAAAAAATAAATTAAAAAAAACATGAACCAAACCAAATATGTTGAATTCGATTTGAATTTATATTAAAATTTAAAAATTTATAATATTATATATTATTTTTAAAAAATCAAATTAAATTTGATCTGATATAAACCGTTATTATCTTTAAAATATAAAATAACATTATTTTAACAAATCAATATCAAATATAAACATAATTATCACTTGATAAACTTGAAAACTATAAGACAAAAATCATATCTTATTATGCGTATTTTAATAAACAGAGGGATCAACTTATATTAATTTAAAATTAAAAAAATTTACATATTTTTAATAATTTATTTCAATAAATTTAATAAATAAATTAAATCATTTTTTTTTTTGACTTATTTCTTTCATTTTTTCGATTGACTTAAAATCAATAGTTAAAAAAAATATAAAACTAACAAAATTTTACATTAATATATATTGATTTCTTCTTTTTAGTAAATTTTACTTTTAACTTTAATGACAAAAACAGGTTTCAAAATCTTTTATGTTATGATGTTATCAATAATTCCTTAATCTCACATACATCTTACTTTCTATAAACATTAGATTCTAATACATAATCAAATATTTATTGGCATATTAAAATTCAATAATTATTACCTCGTTGTTAATTACTACTATATTAATAATCAAGAAACTCTAAGAGTTAATATTATAAATAGTCTTTAAATTATAATAAAATATTTAATGTAATATTTAAATTTTAAAAATTTTTAACATTATCTGGTAACTAATGTAATATTAAACTTTAACATGATTAACTTCAAATAAAAAAACGTAACAGATAAACAATTCTCAAAGTATAACATTGTTAAAATATTCATAATTTAGATATTATATAAATTTTTTTTAAAATTTAGGTCTTACATTAAATATTTTATTATAATTTAATAATCATTTATGATATTAACCCAAATCTTAAATATTAAAAAAATTATTAAATTTTATTAAACATTCGTTTCAATGATTGTTACATATATCTACTAAAAAACAAAGATTTGAATTATTTTTTTATTTTTTTAATTAAAAAAATCAAGTTAATAATTTTAAATAAACATATTAAGAATACGAAAAGTACTAATTAGTTTAATTGTGAAATCTTTTTAATATTTGTATTAAAAACTTGTGCCACCTTATAAAGGAAAGGTCCTACTTCCTCTTTTAGATTAATTCAACTTAGACATTACATTTTGACTTTATTCTATGCTTTGCTATATGAATACAGTTTAATACTATAGTTTATTCTAATCTCACCGTGTAAAATATTTTGATAATGAATAGATAATAACGTCACTTGTTATTTCTTACAATTCAAGTAATAATAATTTATTTAAAATATTTTAGAAAACCTCTTAGATTTATTAATAATTAGGCTTTTCACCTTGAAATTTTTGAATCTTTGAGTATGATTTATACGAGGTTTTGCATTAAATTAAACTAATCAATTTTAAATTAATGATATGTTTTGCCCCTCAACAAAATAAATTATTGAATTAAAAAAAGTATTTACTTAATACATGCATGCTTTGACCATAGAAGAACAATAATTTAAAACTATAGTTTGAATTGCTTACCAACTTTTAATTAGGTTAATGGTAGGAAGTTAGGGGGTTGGTAAGCAAATTTACCCTTTTGGTAAGTCTTAGGCGAGCTATAAGTCTACTTCCATGGAAATGTATATAAAAATTTATTAAATATATGGATAGTGAAATTTTTTAAATTTATAAATGAGATTAAGATAATGATATATATTTTTTAATATGTATTTATATGTAGTTAGTGACAAAGATATTATCTTTTATCTGTACATATAATAATTTTAAACATAATATAAAAATATGATAAAAATAATAAAAAATATTTAAAATTTTATTAAAAAAATTCATGAGTTAAAAAAAATTAAAAAATATTTTTTATATTTTATATCAACGTAAATTATTGTGATACATTAATTTTTATATTTTATATATATTTAAAATAAAATAATATCATTTATATATATATATATAATTTTCAAGTTACCTATTGTGGCATTTGGCCCGAGTAAAAAGAACAAGGGAGGAAAGAAAAAACTTGGGGCAGAGACAAAGAAAGTGTTAAACAGGGAAAACAGACTGAAACAACAAAGTCAACAGGGAAGAAGTCTGCTTTGTGGCAGCCTTTTTCTTTTTAATGACTTGTAATTCCTATCATGGATTCAGAAGACTCTTCTTAAAACGGTTACAAATAATTATATAAGCAAAAGCTCGATTACTTCTTTCCAATCTTTTTTTTTTCTTTTTCTAATACTAAGCGGTAATTTTTTTTTCCTTTTACAAAAAGCTATCAAATGTTCTCCTCTTGAGTCCTCAGTCGCTCTCCGTCTTTCTTGCTTTTTACACCCTTCATTTCTTTATTCAATTGATTGTGCAAACTAATAAAGTCGATTATATAATAAGAAGAGGAAGAAGAGCCACAACATCAACAAGAAAAAAAAGAGCTCTTTTAGCAGACACCAGTTTCACCACCCACCAACAGCAGAAAGCAAGGCCATGTTCTGGCCTTTGAATTGATCTTTTTCCTGGTGATTCTTTTATACCCAGTTTTTGTTTTTGCTTCTTTTTTGTGGCTTTGAGGGTTTCAGCTTTTGAGGTTGTGGTTTAAAGGGTTTTCTTAAATGATATTTTTTGGGTTTCTGATGCCGCAGACTTCGAATTTGGGAAGAAGGTTACCTAGAACTTGATGCTGAAGAGAAATTAGTTAGGCAAATTAGAGGTTTTGCAGAATTTTTAATTTCTATGGGTTGGTTGTGCTGCTTTAGTTCATCTCAGGTACATCATATTTTTATTACTCTTTTATGCTTATCTTAATGATCCCATATTTGTTGGGTAAATAAACCTTAACTAATTGTGATGGAGCTCGGCATTTTTTATGGGTTACTTGTGTGATTAATTTTTAGGTTATGTTGCTTGATTTTAGGTTTCTCATTTGAACTAATTGGGAGTTATGAATTTGGGTTGCAGGAAAGCTTCTAGTGAGATTAGAATTGAATAACTCTTCTGCCTATTAAGAGGATTTCACATTCATTTTAGATGTGTGTTGGGATCTGATGCGTTTTTCATAAACACTTCCTAATAATGAGCTCTATGGCATTGAATCATTGATAAGTTTTATTTGCTGTAAGATTATATTGCTGAACCTGTTTCTATGAGCGGTAGTGTGGACTGTGGAGTAATCGGAAAAGAATGTTTCAAACTTGGTAAAGCATTTTACAGTTGCTTATATATATATATTATATAATATTTTAGTGCAGTTTAGATGGTAATTATATGTGCAGCAGTTTTTGTAATTATTGTGTTTCTGTTTTATCTCTTTGCTCAACAGTCTGGTATAAGAAATTCATCACATGGTTTTCTATATTTCGGTTAATTATAAACTGTCAGTACACAGCTTGTTTAGAATGGAAATTTGAATTAACTTTCCATGCTAAAACTGCTTGGAAAGAGTTGTACTATATGGTTTTTCCCACTTGTTGTTAGGTCATCTTTTTCCTAATGTTCTGCTCATGCATGCAACATGTTTATGGTTTTGATAACTGGATTATTTTAAGCTTGCTTTTGTTTGCCATTAAGCAATATGGCTATATGAGTTCTAAAATGAGATCTATTATTCCTATTTTATCTTTTTAGCTTGGAGGAGGGCGTTCATTATCTAGTTCTGGTAAGGGGAAAAGCCATGAGGGTATGATGAGGTTTGGTTTCAGCCTAGTAAAAGGGAAAGCTAATCATCCTATGGAGGATTATCATGTCGCTAAGTTCATGCAGATTCAAGGACACGAGTTAGGGCTTTTTGCTATCTATGATGGTCATCTGGGAGATAGTGTACCAGCCTACCTTCAGAAGAATTTGTTTGACAATATCCTAAAGGAGGTGGGATTTGCCATACATTTTTAAAGGGGTAATTATACGTTTGGTTTATTACTTTAGAATCAGCATATGCTTACATTTCCCACTTATTCTAGGAAGAGTTTTGGGTTGACCCCTTAAGAGCCATCTCGAAAGCTTATGAGAAAACAGACCAGGCAATTCTTTCACATAGCTCAGACTTGGGTCGTGGTGGATCCACTGCTGTAACTGCAATATTGGTAAATGGAATAAGGCTATGGGTGGCAAATGTTGGAGATTCACGTGCAGTTCTTTCGAGAGGCGGTCAGGCAATACAGATGACTACAGATCATGAGCCCAATACTGAACGAGGCAGCATTGAGAACAGAGGCGGATTTGTCTCAAATATGCCAGGTCTGTTATTGCCGCCAATTTTTAGAAGTTTATTGTTTGAGTTTGTGCACATCTAGTCAAATATGGTCATGACATGTAACTAATGTTTTGGCCACACGGTTGACTGATCAAATCTGCTGATTGTCTTTAAGTGGTTTTGCAGCTTCTAATTCTTAGCACTTCTGTGTAGCAAGTTCCTAAAAAAACTTGTTATTTAAAATAATTTATTTCTACATTATTATATACTCATTTCCTGGTCTGTAGTTCCTAATAACTAAATAAATGTGCACATAGTTTCAATCCCCAATAAAACACCAGCAGTTCAGTTAGTTAATCTATCTACTAAGAATACATCAATTACATTGAAAGGAATTTGTCTTGTCATCATCATTGACTTGCAGGTACTTCTCTTCTTTTTTCTTTCTCTTTTTTTATTGGGTTAATTTTAATAAAAGCCTGGTGTAAATGCTAATGGAGGTAAATGTTTAATAATTGGTTGAATTTATTGATTATTGCCAATTACTTTTTGGCTTGTTGAATCCGTTAAGACGAGAGGCTGCTTTTTTCTTGCTCCTGACAGCCAATTTTAGGAATTAGTTAGATTTCAGTTACTGATTCTTCTTTTATAACTCCATTCTATTTTGAATTTAACTTTTAACTTAGCTTCTCTGCACCTTGTCAATCATGGGGAGAAATCTCTTAGAGTTTTCCCGACATCATAGGAAACCATAAAGTGTTTGCGTTATACTTGTTCAACTTTCACCTTCTTCACATTTGTCCATCATCAGGTGAAGTTTTGTACTTTGTTGTATGTTCCTGTTCCCTGTTCATAACAATTTAAGGGTCTTTTTTAACGCATGTCTTTGTGTGGGTTATGAAGTACAAATGCATCAGGCTTAGTGAAGCCATTACAAATGTGGTGTCATCATTTTAAGTTATGATAATGACTCCTGTTAGTGCTATTGCTTTGCTCTAATAATCTAGATGATGGGCTTCCTTTACATTCAAAATATTGTAAGACCAACTGAAAAGCTAACTGCAAGTTGCGATTGTTTTCTGTATATTTTATGATTTTTTCTTCTTGTTTGTTTGGAAGGTAAAGAAATTGACACCTGAAAGCTTCAGTTCAGCTAATTCTAATACATAGAAATTTCCACTATTGAGTGAAAACATAAGGCTTTTACTCTTATTTGGTGGATTTAAATGCTTCATTTTCCTTGTGTGAAATATTACCCCTGAATTGAGTATATAGAAGAACTTCATTTGTAATTTGCTAATATGATGAGAGAGATTAATAAAAATGCATAACTCACCAAATGAAAATGTTGCACCTTTTAGTAGCAATAATATCTTATTTTTTTTCTTAATTTTTGTATGCTTTGACATCTTGTTGTTAGTTGAGAAAAAAAAATGCTGGGAGGTCTGCTGATGTTTGTGAGATTGTTAAATTTGCTGATTTTGCATGCTATCAGGAGATGTTCCTAGAGTTAATGGACAACTGGCAGTTTCACGTGCTTTTGGGGACAAGAGCCTTAAATCACATCTCCGATCAGATCCAGACGTTCAAAACACCATCATAGATAACAATACCGATATTTTAGTCCTGGCAAGTGATGGCCTTTGGAAGGTAAATCATTTTGGTTTAATGTCTCCTTTTCTTGCTGCATCCTTATTAGCCATTTTATGCATATGTAAGGAATTGTCTCAGTGATGCATGAGCTGGAAATAGTTCTGTAGAAGTTATATTTCCTTTTGCATATGCTTAATCCAGGTGATGGCTAATCAAGAGGCTGTTGATATTGCAAGAAGGTTCAAAGACCCAAAGAAGGCCGCAAAGCAACTAACCACTGAAGCAGTTAAAAGAGACAGTAAAGATGACATATCTTGCGTTGTCATTAGATTTAGGGGATAGAACCATTTAGATTATATTGCTCTCCTGGTGCAGTATACACCGAAATAAGAGTTTGTTTACACAGGATGCCGATTTGTGGATTAGACCAACAGGAAAATACATACTTGCTTGGGGCAATCCTTGAAGTTATGCGGAAGTCAAGGTTTGCAATTTACTTGTCAGTAAAAAACGAAATGCAGGATTGGCCCTATGTGAATTCATTTTATCAATTAGGTTCTGATGTTTGATATTGTTTGATTTCTTTACTAAGGTGATTAGGAATTCAATGTATATTTTTGTTACTTGTCTTGTGAGTGTGTAGATGAAGTTGGCTTTGATTGTGACTGGAGGAATTCTCATGGTTTGTTTCAATGTAGTATTCATGAAGGCCTTGTATATCTGCCTATTTTATTTGAAGCTGGCCGTTGACGTTTACTGCATGACCCAGAAATCAGGTATGAAGATACATCCCAACGGATGGATTGATTCTTATAGCGATGAATTGACCTGTGGAAAGAAGTCTCCTTCTCGAGGCTGTTCTGTCCATTAGAAGTTTCTTTTTCTTTCTGCTCAAGTTGGTTTGCTTATATACTACCGTCACCGTTCTTGAAGCTTCATTCTTGAATTCAACGGCTCAAAATTTTCAGTAACAATTAGCCAAGTTGAGATGATAAAAGATAATCATTGTTAGGTACAAATTGTTTCAAATTTCGTCACAGTAATAACTACATTTATTGATACAATTAAATCTGTACTAGCTCTCCATGTGCTTAATGGTACATATTGGTCCAAATTTTTTTCAAAATATAATAGTTTAAAAATCAGAACATATAATTAACTTGGTAATTCTTTTATCCAAGTTACAACATCTGTTATAAAAAAAAAAATAGCAACAGCGAAAAAATCCCCAAAAATATGGGTTGAGATAGACCCGAGAATGGTGAAGGGTGAAGCAGCCACAGCTGCGCAAGTGGAAAAAATCCCCAAAACATGGGGTGAGATAGGCCCAAGAACAATGCTGAAGGCTTAAGTAGCTACAGCTGCGGAGTGGGTAATCACCCATTAGGGTTTAGCTATCCATGGTTCACTATTAATACGTCTAATCACATAAGCTTCGATTTTACCCGTACTATCCTTCCTGCATTGTTTTTTGTCGTCTTCTTCTTCTTCTTCTCTTTTTCTGGTTTTTTTTTTTTCCTGATGAAAGTAACTTTGTTTTAGTAACGGTAAAGTTGATATGCTGGCGTATAAATAATCAGTAATGGAAGATTGGATGTGGAATTTGCCTCTCCTTTCGGCTTCAAGGGTTTGAGATCTAAGGATCGATTTCTTGACGGCTTTGTTCTGGAGGCATACACTTACTCCCATCCAAAGAGCCTTGGGGATTTCAGATTACATGCATTTTCTTTTGCTTCTCTGGCTCTCCTTTCTTTGGTACATCTTTTTTGTTAATGCCATTTCAAACCAAATTCTCTCTCTTTAATATAGTATTTGTAGTAAAGAAAATTAACCAAATTTCCATCACCATCAATGACAGTTCCAGTGTAGTGGTTTAAGGTTCTCATTTCTCCAAATTCGTGGACTTTCCTATGCTCTCAGTCAATAATAATTTCATGAACAGTTTGCCTTAACTTACCTTGGTATTGTTAACCCAACTTGAGCTTGGTTGGAATTACAATATTTGCCTCTCGTAAATTGCATTAGAAAAGACAAAATAAAGAAGGACGCAATACAAGAGCAAGACTGATTCCTTTTTAAGTCTGCAAAAGACACACTTAACTTAGCTTTATAGCCAAAATATATGCGAAAATACATAGTTCCCATGTTTCTTTTTCAACCACTAAGGTCAGAATCAAATCTATTCATTTTCCGTCTGGCTATGTCTGGTTCTTCAAGAACGATAGTTTCAGGGTAATCTATATACGCCAATCATGGCCAGAGCTGCAATGGACATTTTATGGACTCTGAACTACCGGAGGTATCAAACTATAATAAATTACAGAAATCTGTCACGTAAGAAGCCTGCAATAAACAGTTATTTTGGCCCCTTTTTTTTTTTTTTCATATTTTACTTGAACAATTTGCCTTCTCTAAAATCCACAATCAAGTATTGGATGTTCAGCACTTGGCTTTGTTGTTGTTCTTGCTGTTGCTGCTGTTAACCTGCACAAAATTTCTTGCTTGTTTTTTACCTATAAAATCTTTGCTATTAACATCAGCTTTAGGTGTCAAACACTGACTAGGACCAAACAGGTTTCCTAATCCTGGATCTGATTTTTCTACTTCTACTAATAAAATTCTAGTCAAAATGCAAAATGCAGAGAAGAAAAAAAGCGCCTGATCATAATGAGAAAAAGGAGCTAATCCCAACATTGAATTCATTATAATTCAGAGATATCAAAAGCAAAAGACATATTGCAATAATTGATAGTAATAATGAGGCATCGATTCGGAAGTATGACATGATATGGACATATCATAATTTTTAAAAAATAAGAACATACATAGAGTAAAGTATGGTGTTAAATATTTTTTATATAAATTAATTAAAAATTATGATAAATATTAAATGATTTTTTAAAAGATATTTATTTTTATAAAAAAATTAATGAAAGATACACTAATAAAATAACATATGATGATATTTTTCTCTCAAATTTTTTTTTCTTTTCTTTCCTTTTCTTCGTCTTTGTCATATCTAAGTAAATTCAATATATATTTTGATATATCGCAAATGGGTTTTATCCTTTTCTCATTGCAAATAAACGTCTGCTAAGAAGTCATGGTATCATGTGCAAAACTGAAGTGAACTTATCTAAAAACCGGTGAAAATAGTCGCTGATGTTCCAAAATGACAGTATTCTAGCTAGCGAGGCAGCGAAAACGCAAGCAGAGTTCCCTGATTACACCTAGTGCTGAAAGTGGGAGCTGCTCATTTGACTGATTCCCACTTCCCCATCTCTTTCTTAGCTGCCTCCTGGAGCGTTGGAGAATGGGAGTGGTCCAGAATAATAAACACAAGAAGTTCAATGACTTAATAATTTACACCCTCATCTTTTTATTTGTTCCATTCCATCTCCCACTTGTTATAAATGGAAATTAAACAAAAGCAAATTACCCTGTTGATTGAGTACTAGGAATATAAAAAGTTTAGATTAAATGAAGTTAAATAAAAACAATTCAGAAATGTCAGAATGTCAATTTTTTTTAATGAAAAATTTAAAATAAATAAATTTTTTAATTTTTTAAATCAAAATAAAATATATCACATTAATAATTTAAAAAATAATAATTACAAATTATACATTTCAACTCATTAAAAGACTATCGACTGAATTTATGGCCCAAGCCACTTGCGTTGAAAAAATTATCTTCTTGGTAAAATGTCAATATTATTACGACACAGAGGCGCACATGGTCCTGAGTCCTGACAACCATTTCTTTCTTTCTTTCTTTCTATCAAACATGTGATCCAAAATGCCATACTCACCACCCTACCATCCTTTCTTTCTCTCTCTAGTACTCTAACCCTATAGAGACCAAAAACAAAACCAAACCCACCAAAAATAAAGTTATAGCAGGTGCCAGAAGAAAATGGACTTCCATCTTTTTTTATGGTCATATTACATGTCTTTCTATCGTTTTCTGCTTGCTTTGGGTTTGAAGCACTCTCTCAACTCAGACCATGATAAATTAACTCTTCTTTACTCCACATAAATTTTACTTGGTCAAATGCTATACATGCTTTGGGAATTTTACAGTAATAGTGAGAAATTCATTACTTTGTCCGAAATTCACATTCGAAATTATCATTTTGTATACATGAACAATGTTATTTATTGAATAATGTCGAATACTACACCAGTCAGATTTACATAAAAAATAATGCAACACATGAATTTTATGTAAAAAACTTTAAAATTAGATTAAAAGCATGGATCACCAAAAATAAAAATTCATTACTTGAAAAATTATTATAATCACGTAACATTTCACCTTTCGAGATTTTTATTTGTTTTTTACTATCCTAAAACATATATTCAACAAATCCGTAATAATTTTTTATTTTTAATTTGCTCTTAATAATTTCATTCGCCTATAATTCATGAAACAAATGACATTGTCGATTTATAACAGAAATTATCATAAAAATTCATATTTATTAAAATTCTTACCAATTACATATGTTTATTTTTAAATAAATTTAATTAACAAATAATTCTCGGACCAATAAAATTTTATAAAAATCTAAACTATTTTCAATTAAATTTGAGCCCCAACTGCACATGTCATAAATAAACCACAACCCATCACATCAAAGTCATTGAAGAATGATTTCACTCTCTTAAAAAGTTTCTGGTCTATCGTTCTGTAGTTTCTTAAGAAAAATGACAAGGTGTTTCAGCTTAACTGAAGCCAAAAACTGGTGCTACAGATCATCCTTCAACAAATCAGGGCTTCGATCCACCATCACGGACCTCCAAGATGGCACCATTATGCACTGTTGGGTGCCCAAGACCCGCAATGAATCCAAACCTAACCTCCTCCTTATCCATGGACTTGGTGCCAACGCAATGTGGCAATGGGGTAAAATCCTTCGTCAGATGATCCCTTACTTCAACGTCTTCGTACCTGACCTTCTCTTCTTCGGAGACTCCTACACGACTCAGCCTGAACGCTCTGAGTCGTTCCAGGCTCAGTGTGTGATGCGAGTAATGGAAGCCAACTCGGTAAGGAAACTCAGCCTGGTAGGCCTTAGTTATGGTGGGTTTGTTGGGTACAGTTTAGCAGCACAGTTTAGTCAGGCTGTTGAAAAAGTGGTGATATGCTGTGCTGGGGTTTGCATGGAAGAGAAAGATTTACAGGAAGGGGTTTTCAGAGTATCTGATTTGGAAGAAGCTGCCAGGATTTTAGTCCCTCAGACGCCTCAGAAACTTAGAGAACTCTTGGGTTTTTCGCTGTTCAAGCCGCCTCCTTTGAGTTTGGTACCTTCTTGTCTGCTCGCAGATTTCATTGACGTAAGTAAACCAACAATTTCTTTCTAGCACGAGCACAAATTTCTGATCTTGTAATAGCCAATTGCGTCTCAACATGTCAGCTTTTCATTTGGGTTGTATTTTTTCTTTTTTGTGCTTGTTTTTGATGTTTGGAGCATACGGGCAGGTGATGTATACCAAGTATACAGAAGAGAAGAAAGAGCTGATCCGAGCTATACCAAAAGATCGAAAGATTTCAAACATTCCCAGAATCTCTCAGGTTCATCTATGGAACAGTTTGATTCTAACCCCAAACTTTGATAAACCATTTTCTGCTTTCTAAACAAAGTTGCTTCTAATTTTATGATTCTACGATATCCAGCCCACGTTGATTTTGTGGGGAGAATATGATCAGGTATTCCCACTGGAAATGGGTCACAGGTTAAAAAGGTTAAATATCTTCTGTCAACGCTTTTGGCAATCAAATTACTTGTTCCTTCTATCATTTTGCTAATTGAAGAACTGTTGTAGGCATCTGGGGGATAATGCTCACATTGTTGTTATCAAGGACGCAGGACACGCCTTCATCTTGGAGAAGCCCAAGGAGTATTACAGGCAATTGAAATCATTTCTAGTTCATTTGCAGCCTCCTCCAGTGAACCCACCTCCCAATAATGAAAACCACAAGTTATCTTGTAATGCAGCAGAGGTAAAACCTTGAAAGTGAAGTGCAACAGCAAATTTCTTATGTAAATCTTTTGCCATCTTAATTTCATCAGAAAAAAGAGAAGTTAACATCTCATTCTAAACAGAAACACAGAATAAATGAAGCTATTACAAAGGAGAGTCCATTTTCTTCAGTGCATCAGGTGCCCCTTTTTTTATTTGTAGGGGGAACCCATTTTCCATAGTACAAATTCCTGCGAAGGTGTTATCCTTTTCCCTTTTTTTGGTTCTTGCAAAAGCATTATACGGTAGTTTTGCTGATACTTAAAATTCATCCACCATAAATGAATTTCAATCATGATTCCTGCCCCGTATCTCATCATTCTGTTACCATTTACAAACAGGTTAATGCCCCTAGAATATTCAATTATTGCCTGAGATCAAATCCAGCTATAAAATCAAAACTATTCAAGAACTCTTTTACTGAGCTCACTCTTTAGATAAATAAGCTAGTTTCAACGCATAAAGCTTCACTCTGTTTCTTTTTTGTATTTACAAACCATTTTTGGAGAGCAAAATGATGCCAAAAAATAGGGTAAATTAAAAAAAAAAAAAATCTTGTGGTTAGGGCTAAAATGAATTTGAATATGAGATTTAAAAAAGTGAGATTTAATTGAGAATATTTCCTTCAAATTTTAAGTTAACTTTTCTCTATGTACATTTTTTTCTTTATTTTTTTCTTCTTCATTGAATTTTAACACTCTCTCGAAAACTTTTACGGTCATTTTTTTATTCCACTTTGCTCCTTCACACACATCACATCAAAGTTTTTTTTTAATCCAGATTATCCCATTTTTAAAGTTAAGGAGAGTCAGTCAATTCACAAACGAGTGAGTTTTTTTTTTTATACTTTTCAAACTTATAAATAGCATACCAATAAAAAATAATACGTATTCGAATTTGAGTATTTTATATTTAAAATTTAAAATTTAATTATTTGGATCAATTTTTACTGATACAGGTCGAAGCTTGTTTTTTTTTAACTTTTTTCAGTTCATTTTTTTTTACCTGCTTTGTCCTTCAATTCTCTCTCTTCTTTTTTTTCCTTGTTTTTCACATTGGCCGTCTCTCTCTCTCTCTCTCAACCATCAATGCTAACATTGTTGTCGGTACAGATCACTAATGCCATTGTACACTATTTGTACATCAGTCATCAGTGCCCTTTCACGAAATATGCCACTTTTCTTTAAAAAATGCACTCGATAGATTACACATAAGTAACAGCCAGTCCATACTTTCCTTTTTGTTTGTTTCGGCCAATCCACCAAGTCTATACTTTGGGCCTTTTTTTAAAAAGTTTTATGTTTTGTGAGATCATGATTAATTTGGGCTGAATTTTATTATTTTAGTGTATGGACCAATGACTTCGGGTTCTCCAGTTATTCTCGAAGTTACGGGCTTCTTTCTCTATTTGTGTAAATTTTCTTTTTCATTTACTTTTGTTTCCCGGTCTGTTGAGACCCCCGTGTTTTTGAACTGAATTGAAATTTTCTTTATTTGATTGAGGATAAAACATTATGAACAAAAAAAAAAAATTCTAGAAAAATCTTGATTGTTGGAAACTTTTTTCATTTTTCTAATACGAAGTACGAAAACAATGAACTGCTTTTGGAAACAATGAAATTTGACTTACAACGCCAGAGCATCATCGCCAAAATAGATATTTGAAATTGAACACCGACTCATGCCATGAACTTTGCAAAAGATTCCAGCGCAAAAATCAACCCCGCTGCTCCACAATGCCAATCCCCTCATTCAGAAAACTTCCCAAATAATGAATACCAAATTGGAGCTTTAAGCTATGGTTATGAACAAATCCAAGGACAGGCTGGAAGGCGCAAATTGTGATTATAAATTGAGGAATGAGGCAGCAAAGACAAATTGCGCATCAGTTAGCAACAGATGGAAAAACAAGCCAAGACAACAAAAATTGAAACACATAAGAAAACAGAGGTAACAAAACTAAAATAACAGATTCAATTATGTTTAAACAGAAGAGAACGCCAAGTAACAGTCAGCAAACATCTGGTTAACAAATTGATACCAGCCATAGGTCACAAATCCTGGTAGTACTACTATGAGTTGAAAGGAGGTCACTCTAGCAGCAGCCCCTTTCCTACCTCGACAAGACCAGTCTTAAAAGAATACTCTTCCATCCAATTAACTCTGCAAAGATAAGGAACAATATTTTAAAAAAAAAAAAAAAGGAAAAAGTTTATTTGTTCAGAGCAAAAGGAAAGAGTGACAACGCAATTAATCAAGATTTGCACCACCATAGACATCTATAATGCCATACATAATAGTCACCAGATGATCAATGATCAGTCAACTTAAAATATTGTTCAAAATTTTAACATTTTCTTACCTCTGCCTGAGGTTCATCTGCTTTTGATTGCTCACCTGGAAAGTCAAGTAACAGATTTGCAGAAAGAAATGTATCAGTGGCAGTTGACAACAAAAATTGCTAATATCAGAAGGTGGTTAGCAGGAGATTACGCTTCTTGAAACTAACCATAAATATATAAAATCCAATCAGACAATACAAAAATCATAGCAGTTCAAATGTGCACATACATATATATTCATATATTATATCACAGACAAACATGCAAAGAATTTACCTCCTTCCTCTGGCAGATCTGAGGTCCATAAGGTGAGGTTATCCCTAAGAAGCTGCATAATAAGGGTGCTATCCTTGTAAGATTCTTCATTAAGGCTATCAAGCTCTGCAATTGCCTCATCAAATGCTTGTTTAGCCAGATGGCAAGCCCTGCTCAGATATTGCATCACATTAGATAGAAATAGCAGCTAAAGAAGAACACGTATAAATAGCTTCATGCTTCCTCTATAATTATTAAAATAAGTAAGCAACAAATAAAGGCTATGGAGGAAACTATTTCTGAAATTAGCACTAAATAAAAGGAAATATTAGATTGTAATCATTCTCCCCAATGAAAAGAAAATTTTCAAGTAGATTACATTTATGTATATGTGTGTGTGTGTAAATAAGAGAGAGAGAAAGAGAGAGAGAGATGCATTCTAACCTCTCAGGAGAATTTAATATCTCATAGTAGAAAACAGAAAAGTTCAAAGCCAGGCCAAGTCTAATTGGGTGAGTTGGAGGCAAATCTGAGCTTGCAGTGGAGGTGGCAGCCTACAATATGAATAATAATAAACACTGCTCCGACTTTGTGATATGAAATAAAAATAGAGGGCTGATGAAAGGTTAAAAAAAAAAAAAAAAGAGCAAAAGCAAAAAGAAAAAAAAAAAGGGGGGGGGGGGAGTTTGGCACACCTCATAAGCCTTAAGTGACTGATCAGCAGCTTCTTTGCGATCATCTCCTACTTTAAATTCTGCCAAATAACGAAAATAATCTCCTTTCCTGTTAAAAGAAAAGGCAACAAATAAGGAAATATTCACAACTACGGCCTATAAAAACAAACAGGCAAATAAGCGAATCCTCACATCTTATGGTAGAAAACTTTTGATTCCCCTGTTGCGGAAGAAGGAATGAGGTGCTTATCAATGACAGATAATATATCATTGCAGATCTTTGAAAGCTCATCTTCAACCCTCTGCCTGTATTCCTTTATCCTCTTCACATTTTGTTCATTACCCTTGGCCTCCTCCTTCTGTTCAATTGAAGACAATATCCGCCACGATGCCCTTCTTGCTCCAATCACATTCTTATATCCCACAGACACCAGATTCCTCTCCTCCACAGTCAGTTCAACATCCAATTTAGCAACACTCTTCATGGCCTCGACCATCTCTGCAGTAATAAAGTTTTTCACAATTCAAAACAGATACCAAATGAGTTAAAATTCCAACAAATCATAAGATGAGTCCCGCAGATGAAAAGGACTAAGATTCAACAGTCATCTTGCATAGTTGTTAAAAAGTAAAAGAAAATACAGTAAAAAAAACCATATTTTATTAAAAAAATGAGCAATAACTTAAAATGCAACACATTTCAAACCTTAAATAATTCACACGAAAGTAAAATCAAGCATTTTTTTACTCCAAAAGTTTCAGACTTATAATAAGTCAAAAATTCTAGCAATTGCTTTTGTATCAAATCCAACTTTTTTCTCTAAGATAAGCTAATCTCGTTTTCTTTACTATCCATCTACTGCCAAAACCCTAAAAATTAAAACTTTAACAAAACAAAAATGAACTGTTTTACTTTCACTCTCAACTTCATTGCATATTTTCAGTATATTATCATCAAATCAGAATTAAAGACTCATCTTTCCTCTACGCTACAGATCATTGAGCTCAAATCCAAGTAAGAAGACATATATCTAGAAGAGATGTAAGATCAAAGGGCAAAAAATATACATATCAAGAAGAGATTATTTTACCGTCATATCTTTCAGCTTGCTCTGCGAGTCGTGCCAAGTAAACTTGCTGCTCTCTTTCCTTCGCCATCGCTTCTTTTTTCTCTCGCTCGCTATAGTCTTTGATCTTTAGATTTTGCGGTTTCGGAGGAAGGTAACTGCCTTTTAGGAATGCCGTTCCTTGATATCAGGCTGTTGGATGTGGTTTGCTGGGGAAGCTGAATCGACGGTCCAAAATGAGTTCTCTGTGGGAACTTTTGTGGAAAAAACAAATAACCATTGGAAAGTTGGAATGTTTGGTGCGGGTGAGGGTGCAATCAGAGCGGTGCATGTGAGGACTTTAGGAGGATTTTTGACCGTTGGATTAGCCATTGTGATTGCACGGGGAGTATTGAGTGATGTTGACTGGGACCACAACTGACGGTGATCCACTGGGGTCCACACTGGTTTTTCTGATGTCTTTGTCAGGTTCCTTCGATGCAGTTCTTTCCACAAAATTTATTACTTTTCCACTGTAATTATGAAATATAAACACTCCCAACAGCGGAGGTGCCAAACTATATCGAGCTTTTCCCGCCACAATATCTTCACTCTATCCCTCAATTTTCTCACCAACCAAACAAGCTTTTAGTGTTTTTTTTTTTTCTTTCTCTTCCAAACCCAACCGAGCATTTCCTCACTTTCTTCTTCACATTCAAGCTGATCATTATTACAACTTTTTCTTTCTTAATGAAAGATGGCAAATTCCGGTGAAGACAAGCTTGTTGCGGAAGTAATTCGTTACATACTGTTTAAAACACACCAGTATTCTGGAAGTCCTGTTAAAAGGGGAGAGCTTTCTCAATTGGTTACTAAGAGCTATCGTCACCGTTCTCTTGCTGCTTCCGTTATTAACGATGCTAAACACAAACTGTCCACCATTTCCGGTTGCGAATTGAGGGAACTTCAAAGATCTCGTCCTGCTTCAACAAACCAAGCCCCATTTTCTTAACAGAGTAACAAATTATTGACCCCCTTCGTTTGAATTTTCACAAATCATTTTAATTTTTGCACAAACTATAATTTCAATGAGATATGTTGTTTTTCAGGTGGAGCTGATGCCAAATCCTATGTTGTCATAAGTCAGTTACCCGCTGAGGTGTATTGGAAATATGTTGAGGATGTGAATGCATCTTATCGTACTGGTTTTACTTTTTTTATGATTAGCATTGTACACCTTGCTGGAGGCAAAATCGCTGACGGTACATTCTATTGTTCTATCTATTAACTTTGAAATTATGGGTATTAACTTTTGAAACTAAACTTTCTGGATGTGTCTTTGAATCTGCCTTTTCTTTTTTTATATATTTGCCAACCATATGCTTAGCAGGCTGTCCTGTTTTACATCAGTCAGGTGAATTTATCTAGCTGAAGGGCGTTATCTCGTGTTTACTGATACTAGAGGTTCGTAACATAGTGTTTTCTTGATGAATTATGGGGTAAATTCGTTTTTTGTGGTTTTCTTTTTTCACATAGAGACTACTCTTGTGCAGAAAATCATTGGCATCATTTGAAGCGGATGACATTGCATGACACTGATGAAAACCATCCAGTACTTGGGAATGTGAAGCAGTTAGTGGAGAAAATTGTCCAGCAAAGGTTAGGGTGTACCTGATAGTTTGTTGTTTGTAATACTTGTGCTTTCAACAGCCAATTGATTGGGACAGTTTATTAGTGACTTCTTGTAAATATCTGCAGAAAGACAAGGTTAGTGGGCCTGAAGGTACTACTTTGTTTTGTAAGTTTGCTGAGAGAGCTCTAGATGGACCAGTTTGTGAGAGAACTAAGCAATACATATCGCAGGTATTGACTAGCAATTGCTCTGTCTAGTGTTTATGGCTATATGTACTTATTCATAGCAAGTTCCTTTTAAATGGTTTTACACTGCCTTCTTGATCAGGCAATGCTTATCTCTCTGATAAATTTAGTTTTTTCATCTTAAGTTTGATTTTGGCAATTTGCCTAAATACAGCTGCTGATGGAGTTTTTCCTTTCCATTGGTAGTTGTATTTGTGCATGTCATAGGTGTTCATTAGAAATGATATACTCGATGGTATATTGTTGTTGCTTTAATGTGTGAGTATTTTCTCTTGGAGACGGTGCTATTTGCACAGTACAGCTGCAAGAAACAATTTCCTTATCAATGATAATTTGTCTTCATTTATGGTCATGTTTGCATTCATGCGAATGTTACAGATAATGATTACAGATGATAGATTCAGTTGTTGCTTTCATTTTTGTGGCTATTTCTTCTTTTGTTTGAGGCAAGTTACATGAACACAATTGCTACACTAATGGTGGTGCTTTTTCCGCTTAATTGTCAATATGCAAATCTGCATGTATTGGACCTTCATTTACAGCAGACCCACAATTCTTTTTACGGGATAAGTTTAGGGGAAAATATAGCTATCTGTAAACAACATAGATACCAGTGAGTTCCAAAGACTCTGCATCCTGCTGCCCTTTTCTATCATGGATATTTGTTGACCTTAGTAGTCCCAGAAAATAGAACACGGATGCCGTGGAAAAACAAGTGACCTGTAGTAGAACCATGAACTTTCTTTAATGCGTTCTCATGATTATTTGACTTTGCTTTGTGTCACTTGCTAATTAAAGTTTACATTATCACTGTTGATGGTACTGATCTGTGGGGATGTCTTGTTGGCAGATTGTGAAGAAAGATGTTGCCACCGTGGGTATTGTATAATGCCTTGTATAGCTAGCTATTATTAGTACCGAGTTAAATGGAGGTAGATGTTCCATTCTTTTTTTCATGGCTAACTCATTATAGAGTGAAGCTCAGTTCCTCATCGGATGTTTGTTATTCTTTGTGCTGATGGTTTTGGTGTTGTTTTTGTTCAATGTTAGCCCGGTGCTCCTGCCATTTATGTACCACCAAGAGAGATTTGGGAATTCGGTAGAAGTTGGGATATTGGAAGATTGGTTAGAGGCAGTAGTTCAAACTGCAACTACTGGTTCATTTTGGCTACACATTTGCCTAAGTGGGTAAAACTTATTCTTCTTGACAACATAATATGTATCTTCTTTATGCACGGTAATATGTCGCATAGCTTGTAAGCGAGAAAGTGAATCTTTGCACTTGGTCAAGCTATGCAACTGAACGAAATGGTTAATAGGGTGGTCACACGCTGTGGCCTACTATGGTTTATATACAGACCTTCAACAGGTCACTTCCCAGTTCTGAACAACCACCCCACCCCCAACGTCCCTGATAGATTTAAATGAGATTGGACAAGACTTCACAGCTTCAACAAAGAATGACATAGCACATGAACTTAAGGTCCACTATTTAACAAAACGTTGCAAACATGCTTTAATAGAGCCAAAATGGCTTATTCTCGATGATGGCTACATCAATACATTGCCTGTTCCGCTTATCGGCAAATATGTATTCTAAATCATATTAACAAAAGAAAATTAACTAGTTCAGGGTCAGGATACAATAACATGGTTCAAATCAAACACCAAAGTAGGTGTAGAGAAAATTTTCAATAAAAAAGGCTCCTGCTTCCGAGAGATATCAGCCAAACTTTTCATAGGAAACAAATACCTATCCCACACCGGCTAAAATGTCAGCGACATCCACTCATTGGCACAGCACGGTTTGTGTTAGCGTCACCGATTGAAACAGTAGCAAGGGATTTAGAGGCCCATGCTCTAGCATTCATTGCGCCTTGCAAGTTACTTCTCTTACAAGGTTCCTTGAGAGAATTAAACAACTGAATTGCTCGTTTCAGATAGGCCAAAGGATGTTCCAACAAACTTCCCAACTTCACATTTCGAATGAGCTGTCTCCAAGTGAACCGAGCAAATACAAGCAAAGTTGGATACAATAGGTAAAATAGTCTAAAAAGCACAAAAGTCGTAGCCATAGCCAAATAGGTCTCTTGTCCAAGTAAATTCTCTGGAGATCTTGCCCATGAGAATGGGCAGCTATCTGGCTCAGTGCTATTATGCTTCTCATTATTTGACATGTCTCCAATTTTGTCCAAAGATGTTTCATCCAGAGATTTGTTCTTAATGCCTAAAACCATGTAAACATATTCATTAGAAAATTAAACAAGGGCAATAAGAATTACAAAACACAGGAATATGAAACTGTTTCAGATAAATGGCAAAGAAAAGAAGTTAGGCATGTTTTTCATGGCCTGCAGTTACAGAATGCTAATAAAAACCATCACACTTTCTTTTCACTCAAACTCTCTATCTTGGACATCAAAGCATCACAAATTATCATTACTTGGGTTGCATTTTCGATTGTGAAGAAATGTGGGGAAGAAATTGTAAATTCATTAAAGCACATGCAAAGTACACAAACAACTTCAGGTTGTGTCTGGACTTTTGGCACATAGGATCACAGATGTATAGGTAATAGGATAAATCTCATTTTGAGTCATCCTATACTATAATTGTAGGATTATATAGTCTTTAAAAGACAAGTAGGACTGCAATAATCCCATATGGATAAGATTATGTGGGATGAGATGGGTACATTTTAGTCTTTACATACATCAAAAAGTAGGAAAAATGAAAACAGTTTACTGTTAAAAAATGTCTTATCACTCTTATCCTAGAAAATACATAATCTTATGCACTAAACACAACCAAATCCATGATCATTGAGCATCGGACAGATTAATCACACAACTTATTGGCTAGGGCCAGAAAGAATTATGAACAAAAACAAACATAAAAGGAAAGAGAATGAATAATGAAAAACAACACACAAAAGCATGCCATTAGTCAAAACATATGGATGAAATTATCTGTATTTTCAAACTACTAAAAAATCAACTCAACATGGTACAGATCTCCATAGTCACAAAAACTTAAAAGTTGTAGAACAAAGGTCTTACCAGTGACATCACTATAGAATGCACTGAGAGATTCAAAAGACCGGTTTCCATGATAACAAACACGCATTGTAGAATTCAAAAGGAAAAGAGTAGGAAACCCATGAACTCCATACTTTGAGAGTATGCTGAAGAAATCAACAACACCACTCATTAGTTTAACAAGATATATACTCATAGCAAGCAAATAACAAATGACATATATTTATTTGCAAACCTAGGCCTGACAGCAGATTCTTCAATGGCAAAATGGGGAATGGAAGGATAGGATGAAGAAAGGACAGAGAAGCTCGGTCTAAAAGAGATAGAGAAGGGGCACCAAGATGCATAGAAAAGCACTGCTACATATTCACGACTAATCTTGTGAACCATGTTAAGCGCCTTTTGCAATGAAACCTCATCTCCCTTCACAAGAGTAAATATTATTTATAAATTTAAAATTATACAAACAAAAAGTATAATCAGAAATCAATGCAATCCTAACATTGACTTATTTCAGAAATCTTAATTCCTTTAGACACAGTGCAACGAATTGATATAAAATTCATAAGATTCTTGAGAACTTATCTAGCCAATTTATATCAAACTGCAGAATTTTGAACAAATAAAATAAAAAATAACAAAGATATTTATCAGCTCATAACAATAGGGTATTTTCTATAAGCTTGAAAAATTATGCTTCTACCTTTCTAAAGCAAAGTTTACTCTTTTATAAGCAGCCAAAGAAAAACCCTAAATCTATTCCTAATTTCTTTTTTTTTTTTTTTGCCAAGAATATATTCCTAATTTTATTGACTGCATATTTATCAGCTTGTTACTCCAAAAAAAAAAAAATTAAAACTAATAATTTGCTAAACCTAGCTCAAAATAGAAATAATATAGATTTGTTTTCCCCGCAAAGAAGGGGTAAAATAAATAAAATTGAGGGGTAAAAAGAACAAGATTAAAAAAAAAAAACTCACGGTACCTCAGCAACACCAACGAAATCGATAGATTCCCTAAAATCAGAGTTAATTGGACAGTAGGAGTGTCGAAAGTCCAAGATCGTGTCGGAAATGGGGTCCTTGAGACAGTACGGAACCATAACTGGAAGGGAGACGGCGGACGTTAGCCTCCTCCACAAAAGCAATATTAGGATCCCCGTTTGCCATACCTTCATACCCATCAACGACCGACAACGAATTGCCGATTCACACAAAATTACAAAAAAAAAAAAAAAAAGCTGCCAATAATTTTTTATTAAAAAAATAGAACCCTAAAAAGGGACTTCAGATATTGAAACGGCACAGGAAAAAATAGGGAGAAAAGCGGTTGCATTTCAACTGAGAAGATAAGTTACCATGGCTAGGGGAGAAATCAGTCTAGAAGGTTAACAGTATGCCTGAAAGATTTGAAGCAAAAAGCATGTCTTTGGGCAGATATAAAACAATATTATATAAATTTACATAATATTTTATATAAAAATGAAGAAAATAAAAAATAAAATACTAACACTATTTTGTTTTAGAACTTATATTTATTTAATTAGTAAAATCTGGTGTTTGGAAAACAGGAGATAGGAAAGAGTTAAGAAGAGACAGAGAGCAAGCGAGAATGGGATAAGATCTAAGATGGGAAGATTCTGAAATCTGAATAATGATCCCATGATATCACAAATTATGAAGTTGCGCCGCTACGCTACTTTCCCATTTTTCAGATGTGATTTTTAAATTTTAATTGGTTTCTTAATTTTAATTAGTTTCTGTTTTTAAGTTTGAGATAATGGTATTATACTTAAATTATAATAAAATATTTAATACAATATTTAAATTATAATATTTAAATTATAAATATATTAATTAATATATAATAAAAAATATTTTTATTGTATATTATCATTTAAAATTCATTATATTAAAAATAAATATTTTTTAATTAATAAATTTATAATTTTAAATATTATATAAATTTAAATATCATATTAAATATCTTATTATATTAAATATCTTATTATGATTCAAAAGATTAATCCTTCAAGGTTTAAGTCGTTGTCTTTGCCCGTTCGTCTTCACCAGTGCTCTTAGTCTTAACTCCCAGACCTTATCCTTTCTCTTTTTCATAGGAATTTCTACTTACTAATAAATAAATTAAACAGATGAAAACTCATATTTTTTTTTTTTAAAATATAATTTTACATATCCTCTTTGGCTAATCCAAAATCGCGAAGTAGCCCATAATCAACCTCTACCACAATTTTTTTTTTTTTTTCACTTTAAATTTCAATTCACCTAAACAAGCATACAACATACCGATAGCAATAATTAGTTTTGTTTTTTAAGTAAAGACAAATTATTAACAATCAAAAGAGTACAACTTACCAGTCAGACATCATATTAAGGAAAAGAATGCAATACCAATGCTTTTAAAAGTTTGCCTTCCAAAAATCCCTTTTTGAACTTTCATTTTCAGGACATGCTTTTACTCCATGATGTTAACATTATTCCTACACCAGATATCTCAAGGCTAACCCAAGCCACTAGTTTAGACTTCGACACACCAAATGGTAGTAAAAAGTGGAGAATGAAATCGGGAGGGGAAGCAACTTGGGTTTATATATACAGATGAGCCAAGCCCCAAGCAGCATAATCGTCAAAAACATAATTGCTGCACCAAACATTTAAAAAGTGCAAATGTGAAACAGAAGCTAAGTTAATGATCAAGTCAGCGTGTAATGCTTTCTCAATTCTTTGTTGTGCTGGAGATAAAGAAACCACACAAGATCCTTCGAAATCAAATGGTCGACAGAACTGAAGAACTGACGGAAAAAGATCTGTAGTGAGAGGTAAAAGAAAAATCATACCAGAACTGCAAACCCTGCCTCATGCAAGGACACCTGAGGATAATGTGATGAACCCACGGCAGACTGGTTCAGCCTTCCATCTGGTGTCGGCTGCTGTCTGTGAAAAATGTAGAAGCCATTAGCGTACCTATCTTATTATTGTCTCCCATCTTTAAGGAGAGTTATCTATTTTTCTCTCATTGTGGTTTAGGAATGTGGATCAAGAAGCAAGCAATAAAAAGAGGCTACCATTCATTTCATTTTTCATGCTCTCATAAGAATGAGGGAGATAGTGTCTAGACCCAGAAGGACATGCACATAAAGAAACCCTCGAACCAAATTCCAAAACATTGAACTTGTCCATTTGTCCATCCAGGAAGAAATTCCCCTTCAGTATCTTGTAAGAGAATCAATAGACTTATTTCTGCATTAATGTATATGCCTTTTTCTGCGTAACTCCAATAATTTCATTTTATTTTTTCTAGTTGAAAACTTAGTGTAGTGACTACAACATCAAAACACTTTATTTGATAGGAAAGGACCACAGCACACGATAGGTGAAAGCGAATAATAATGTCAGATCTAGAATTCTTAAAATGCTCCAAGTCACAGGCAAGTAGCTTAACAAAATTATAGAGGAGCATACAATTAACTCATCCTGATCTTTTAATCAATTTTTTTGTGCACGGCAGTTTGTGTCCAGTTTGGATATGTTAATATCTAAAAATTATACTATTATATATTGCACTATAGCACAGCCCAAAATTCACAACAACTTTAAACGGAATCAACTAGGTCAAATCCAACTAAAAGATACTGAAAGCTCTTGCAAGGTTTACCTTACAACATTTTGAGCGGGAAAAAAAGGAACAGCTCAGGCATTATTAGCTACATTCCAGACAATAAAAATGCAAAAAAATGTATTGCGAAATTTTATGCTAATGTATGTTGGGGATTGTATCATTTCCATTTATCAGGTTGTGTTAAAATACTTAGCCAGAAGCAACTTGAACTATATCACTTTCAGTTTGGGAACTATATCAAATGGTTCTAACATTGAAAAATAGAAGTACATATCAACCAAATACATGCAATCATGAAAACATGGCTTATGTCCAGCAAATAATAGTCTTGTTTAGATGTGGAAGTTACCTTATATCACAGACCTTAGAAATCACACATGCGAGATGCAGTCCCTCATACAGGCTGGTGTGATCATAGAAATGCTACATAAAATCATGGTTCCTAGAGAACCTAGCCCGACAGTTGGCACAGATAACCATTGAGCTTCTCTGCTCCCCAATGTTGATAGCCTCATGATAAAACTTATTTCCGCACCAGGAACACTAGGTAGGGACCTGATGTCTGCCAGCTACCTTGGGCAACAGTGGCAAAGCTTCCTTTCCAAGCCAATCAGAGGAATCAAACTTTAGTACCATCTCTGAATCAAATGACGATACCTTGGAGTCTCCTGAATGGGAACTTGGTTGAGCAGTCAGAAAATTATATTCCACATGTTCTATGCTATCTGATCTCAGCCCTTCAAAACCTGATACGCTGTGGCACTTCCCACTAATGTTGAACGGCTCACCTTCAACCTGTTCATTACAACAAAATTGCAAATGTTAAATTCCTTTAAGCAATTTGTTTTCAGCATTTGTTTACTTATTTATTTAAAAGTTAAACTTAGTAGTCAAAAATAAGATCAGCTATTAGGTTTCTATAAGGAAGTAGAAGGTCTACCATCAGCAATGACTTTACTTCCCCTAAGTTAAAGTACAATATCCCACATCTTGAACAACTAGCAATCTAAGCATAACAAACAATCCTTGACACTTATAACATACTGTTTTGCCAAGTATACTACAGTTTCATGCTTTTCTGCGTTATATCATAGTTTATAAGAGTGCTCATGTCTGTACCTTATGTGACATCAGGTCGAATGTTGGGTAATAACCAGATGATTGCAACAATTGAGATGAAGAATTGGCCAAGCCACTCGGCAGGACATTTCCTTCATCGCTTTTCCATGTGAGTCCAGTCAGGAAATCCTCAGTAGGTCGGGCATGGTTGTTATAACCAATCATTATTTCATTATTCCTTGCTTTTCCAAAATCCTCTAACCTGGATCCATCATGAGCAGTGCCTGCATAAACCATGTTCAAATTATTTCCAACCTGTGTTTGCTTACTACGAGATACACAGAATACATCCTCAAAAGCACCTTTATTTTGCTTTGGTTCATGAACAGCACCACTGCTAATACCAGGTACATTCCTTTTATCAGCAAATTTCTTCCCCTTCCCAGAAAAGAGTGAAGAATAACTTTCCCGCCCAATGCCTGTCAGAGCAAATGTGCCTATTCTGGCACGAGCATTGTCAGTCAAGGAGCTTTCCACTTTGTGTTTGGGCTCCTCCATCGCAATGAAAGAAAATTTATTCATTTTAGATTCAAAGTTACTGTTTTGCTGATAAGCATATTGTTCATGTACACTTCTCTGATACCCTTTACCCTGTCTACGCTCCTCAAGCGTGCAAGTAAATGTTCAAGCAATGAAAGCATGATCTTTAGTCCTTTTATGCTTGACAGTAGCCAGGATGTTAGCATCCAATCCAACATCACAGCTGTCCACACCTTGAATTAGTCTTCTAGACTTTTGGGCTTCATCAAGTTCAGACAACTCAAATGTCCAGCTAGAGAGCTTAAATGCATTATTGTCAGAAGGAAAGATTTGCTCACTTCCATGTAAAGTAAGCAAGGCATCTTCTCTGACCTCTTGTGATGGTTTCTTTATTTGGAGATTGCTTTTAAAACCAATAGTAAGTCATTATTCCGAGATTCATTGACCACAATAGATTCTGGATCATCCAAAGTGCCGGTAGAGACAAGAATGAAATTATTGTTGATGAAACATGTTTTATCATCTTTAGATGAAGTTAAACCACGTCCAGAACCTCTTTTCTGTGTAGAATCTATTGTAACAGAAGGCCCTTTCACATGATCTACTAGATTACCGCTTTGTTTGTTGCTGGCAAGAATGACTGAACAACCTTCACCACAATTTTCCTGCTCAACATCAATTGTGACATTACCCAGCCCTGTATGAGTATTGGCACAACCAGCTTTTGGATATTCCCTGTAGCTTTATCCTTCCAATCAGTTCCCATCCGTTTTGTAAAGCTAGTAAAATGTCTATCCTCAATATCTTCATCACTAAACATATTTCCCCTAGCATTTGGAGCAAGTAAACTGGTGTTTGAAGCCATCTCTCTCTTCTTCCCCTCCATTGAGTTAATGGCAAATTGAATATCTGTTTTATCTGAAGATTCAGAAATCCCCTTTTTGTCAGCAGTAAACAAGACTTTTTCAAAACCCAAACAAACATTAAGATCAGACACAGCAGCAGTATCAGTGACCTCCCCTTTGTTATCATTTATGGTACAAAATTTATTTTGTTTATCACAGTTTTTGTCAGCTAACGTTTTTTCATTCATGTTAACCTTATCCTGTTCATCATGAAACAACAAATTGCATTCACTCGCATCATTATAAGGAAATCCAAGCCTTATTTCATTGTTGCCAGGGGAATTGAAAGGCTGAATGCTGTTTTGCACAGTTAACACTTCAACTGAACCTTCAACTTTCTTCATATTGTTCTTCATGTGGATCACAAGATGCCTATCGTAGCAATTCCTTTCTTCAAACAGTTCATGACAAAACTGGCACTCATATTTTTTGTTTTTGATTACCACCTGCTCATTAGTTAAGGTTCCATGTCCAGAACTCTTTGATGTCCCCTGGTGAGATGATAACAGGTGGCATATAAAATCATCTTGCTGATTAAAAGTCACACTGCATTTGTGGCATTTTATTGTTTCAGCTCTCTGGGCTTCCCTTGGACTCCCCATTCTTAGTAAGGGAGCTCACTTCTCATGTCCAGAAGATATACATGTAATCGGCAACGGGGGACAGCATTTAACATTCTGGTCATCAATGAGTATAATCAAGTGGAGATGAAGTGCACAATAAATACAAACACAATCGGGTAACTTACACTTCTAGATGTTGATTTGACACCTAAACCAATGCCACAATCAGGGTGACTCGAAGTTTCCAGGCTTGAATCTTCAAGTCCACCAAAGGAGAGCAAGGATGAAGAAACCTCCTTGCAGGACACAAACTGTTGCCCATTAGGGCTGGATAGTACCAAATTAGGGAATAAAGTGTAACAATGACACAACCAACAAGTTTAAAAAATGAAAAATAAACATCAAAATCAATAAATTTCTAGAATCCCACCTCCCTCCAATCACTATCTGCTTTCTTTCTTTTTTTTTTTTTTTGGTTTAGGAAGGAGGGGGGGGGGGGGGCAGAACTGCACTAAAGAAATGTAGCAATTGGAAAATTTTCAAAATCCAACATGTAATGAAATAACTGCTAAACTATTAAAAATAAACAAACTACAGAAAATGAACATTTCAACATTAATATAATACAAGTTAAAAACGTCAAAGGCATAATCTAATTTATCCGAAGCAACACATAATTCCAATGACTGGAGTCCAACTTTTACTAGTTCCTTTTTGGTTAATAAATTTCCAAGTGCTCTAAAATCCCTCTTACCAGGTTTGGATGTATTCAACAGAGTAAGCAAAATATATCATACTTTGTGTTGTACAAAATTTGATAAAACTTCGACATTTCAGAGCAGAGACTCTAGAATATTCTCTACAACAGAAACAAAAGAAAGAAAATTAAAAAAAAAAAAAAAAAAAAAGAAGAAGCATGAGAGAACCAACATCAGATATAGGCATACTGTGATTCATGCAGAATATTATATATATATATATATATATATTTATATATATATATATCATATTTCACGCAAAGTAAACAGCACCGGTATAAAATCTGCACATTATCACCAACAAGAATATTAAAATGAAAAAAATATATATATAAAAATCATAATGGAAAACCTTATATATCGGCTACAAGCTAACCAAAAATGTTCGGCTCTCCTCTTCACAAAGAGCATAAGCTTCCACCCTTTTACCCTTCTAAACCCCCCATAAACTCATACAATTCCGCCTCTGTCCCCATCCCTCCGTTCTCCTCCTCAACTCCTCTTCAATTCCCAAAATCGCCTCCACATTCCCCAATGCTGCCCTCTCAATTTCGCTCTCAACTTTCTTTTCCTCGTTCCCAATCACTCTACTTTGACTCTCCTCCCTTCGTGGCCGCCCTCTCCTACTCTTCCCTTCACTACAACTGCTAATATTACCGGCATTCGCCATCTCTTTTACCCTATCAAAGGCTGCCGCTTCTTTATATTCCTCTATTATAAAACTTTCGCTCTCGATCAGCCAATTATCCTTCTCGTCCTTCCTAGGCTTCCCTCGCTTCCTTTTTCTTACACTACCAACGACAATGTCGACCGGAATATTCTGCAAAACCGAATTCGCTTTTGGATATTCGATTTGAACCGGCGCAAGATCCTTATCATCGTACGGTTCGTTTTCGTTGGTATTAGCAATCAGCGAATCATCGATGTTGAAAATTGATTTTAGTAGATAGACGATGTTAGAGCTTTCTTCGTCGAGAGGTTCGGGGTTTAGGTGTAGAGGACGAGAAGAGCAGGGTTTGGCGGAAGGAGAGGAATGGTGGTGGAGTAGATGGCAGCGGGGAGCAGCGAGGCGGAGGTGGTTTGTTTGCGGCTACCGGCGGATTCGTTGAAAACGGAACGGTCAATTTTGGGTGTGAATAGTTCGGTTTCGGCATTGGAAGGGGAAGGAGAGGAGTACAAAGAGAGGGAAAGGAGTTCGGGTTGGGAGATGAGTCGGAGTTCTACGACGGGAATAGATTCAACGTGGAGATGGTTATGATGGTGATGACGGTGGTCGACGGTGGCGGCGGCCATTGAAAAGAGTGAAAAACACGATGGGGAAAGGGCGGAAGAGTTCCGGATGTAACGCTCTGATGTAAAGATGGGGATTTGATTTTGTTACTCGCAGGAGTTGTGTTTTTCAATACAACTTGACTGACCCAGTGTTGCCACATCAATATAAAAGGAGACAAACGGGCTGGTTTGGATCTAACCGGCTTTACACAGGAAATACCAAGCCCAACCCTTGCCTTGCTTTAACTTGGGTAGATTCAATCGTTACCAAATGCTGTTAGTTTGGGTTCATTTTTGGGCTTTAGTTTAAATAAATGTGGGAAGTTCATTCCCACTTTGTTCTTGCATATGTAAATTAAATCATTAATTAAAAAAAATGGAAGATTCATATGCCAAATTTGTGTACTACAGATAAATTTTGAAAATTAATGATAAAACTATAAGCTTAAATTATTGAAATAGGATTTAATTTTGATTATTCATAGCCCGATGTTTTGTATATTGTATCATATAAAATATTAAAATTTATGCATTTATATTATATTTTATAAAAAAAATTATGTGTCATAATTCATGTTATATAAAAATATAAAATTTATTTTTTTATCTTATTAAATTTATATATAATTATTACTAAAATTTTAAATTATATTTTTTATATCATATTTATATTATATCTTCATATCATATTTTAAAATTTTAAATTTATTGATTAATTTTTTAATTATTAAAAAATATTATAAATATATTTATTATTATTATAAAATCTCTGAGTTAAAGTCGATAGTAAATTACGAATAAACAATATTTTTTATTTTTTCTCTTTGATATTTAAATAACTTTAGTTTTTTTTTTTTTGGAGAAAAAACCCTATCATTATCCAATTCCTTTACTCATTTTTTTCTGCCTTTTATTTTGGCACAATTATTCATGGCTCTTCTTCTAAAAAAAAAAAAAAATCATGGCTCTTGGCTTGGGCGTTCTGAACTGCTACACCCCATTTCTTTTGTGCCAATGCACTTGAAATCTAATATATTATTTTATTAGTTATTATTATTTATATAAAACAATTCTTTTTAAGTTGTTTTGACCACGGGTCCTTTGTTTGTTAAGTTATTTTTTTAGTTACTATTAAAATATTAACTTAAAATTTTTTAAGGATAAAAAATAATAAAAATGAAAAAAATAGTAAAATGGTAAAATTAAAAACCATTTCTAAAAAAAAACAATCCACAACAAAAATCTCATAAAAAAAAAAACGATGTCAGCAAAATCTTAAAATATTCTACAATTAAAAAAAATTCAGTCCAAGATAACAAAGGATAAGAAAAAATAATCAGAAAAAATATTAAATTATAAAAGATAAAGAAACAAACGAATTAAACGACAAAAAGATGATTTGTACTTTTTTTTTCAGAAATATGGATAGAAAAGTCTTGGAGTTTGCAATCAATAATTTGTATTGTCAATTGAAGAGAAGATTGACTCCAATATCCAAATCCCAGCTATATTTTCAATTTTTCCTGTCAATTCGAGATGTTACTGAAGAATATTTTGACCCTTTCCCTTTTCAAATATCTAAAACTAGGCTAAATCCTATCATACTGGACTAGCCCAAATCCAATTAAAAAAAAAATGAATAGATTCTTGAAAGACATCTTACCACCAGGAACAGGTGAAAAATGAATTTGGCAATAATTGAAATGTCCTGAAAGCCTGAAAATTCCAGGAACATAGCCAACTCGTGGTTGCTTTGGTAAGTGAGCAGCGGCCACAGCAATCATAATTTAATTATTATATTCATCCTTCTTTTTTATGGTAATTTTTTAATTTAATATTAATAAAATTTTGAATTTTATTGATTGAAATTCAAATTTTAATATTTTATTAATATTTCGTATAATTATTGATAAAAATTCAACATTTGATTAATAAATTTTATAATTATTAAAAAATTTAATGCAAAAAATATAATTTAAAAATAATAAAATTATTATTGGTGTCAAACTCCGATACAAAAGTATTCTTATTAATACAAAGAAGGTTAGAGGAAAATGTAATGGATTTTTTTGCGTTTGAATTTTAACACGTAAGTCAATAAAAGAGTTGAAAAGAAATAAAAATAAATAAATAGGATCAACTTAATTTTATAATGTCTCAATCTTTATATTTATATATAAGTTGAGATGATCACAAATGGATAATTAGGATAAAGCCAACTTGAGTTGGTATTGATTATATCGGGTCTACTTAATATGTAAGGTTTGTTGAAGGTTTTAAGAAAAAAAAATTATTATAATTTTTTTATCATCAAATATTTCTAACAATTTTGAATACTAAAATTTAAATTTATAATTTATTTAATGCTATTGATTAAAAAAATATTACAAGAATCAATTTAATTATGCTCTAAATTAAAGTAAATATGCTTTTTATGCTGATTTAGTGGCTTACAAAATTTGCGTAATTTTAGAGATTGAGGAATATAGAAAAAAGAATATAATAAAAAGGGGAGAGACGTCAGTGGTGACTTAAGAAAGTGGGAGGCAAATAAAGACAGAGAAATGGAGGCAAAATGCACGGCCAGGGGTACGACACACTTGGTAGGAGAAATCTAGGAAAGCCGCTAAAGCCAAAAGCAACCAAACCAAAGCAGCAAAGACAGAGACTCCTATGAAATGAAATTCTTAACCGTACGTCCTAACATCAAATCCCGTACGACAGAACCGCTAACTCCATATAATTCACATTCAGGAGCAACACTTTTATATGACAACAAACCCTTCTTTTCCCATATCAAAATATCACCAACAAATCGAACGGTGGAGATCATTTTTTAATGAAAAAGTCCCTATATCAATCAAGGAAATAGGTGGGGACAGGATAATCAGAAGCGTGTGGCATGGAGGATTTGTATACCCCACGGTAAAAATTCTCCTATAAGTCCTAAGTGGGGAGAAATCAAAGTTGAAATTATGTTGCCTTTGTTTATTCTTTTAGGTTGAGGACAGATTCCATTCCACCGAGTATGATGCGCGTATGTCGTTTTACTACTTACTCTTCTTTTTAAATCTCTACCTATTTCCAGTGTCTTCGTTCCAGGCTCCAGCCTTGCAATTTGCATCCTGCACCACATCTAACAGTCACCGCCTGTACCTTTCTCTCAAATATCTGCTGCTACCTTTATAAGATCAAAGAATAGTTGTTTGATCAACAACCTGGCGAACTTCGGCTTCAAGAGGTTAGTTTCTACTTCCAATCTGTTTTGTTCTTATCTTCGTTGTAACTTTAACTTAAATTCAAGACCCAGGTTTTTGCTGAGAATCTGAGAGAAGATTTGTCTTTGGTTGTTGAATTTATTTCTTTGCAATGGCGTTAATTTGATTTAACTAGTTTGTTGTGAAAGAGAGAGGGTTGATGCACAATAATAATGATAACTTGGAAAATGTTTTCTGTGGGATTCCCTCGTTTGTTAGGAAAAAAGACATTAAAGTACTAGCTTTTCTTTAATGGGGTTTTGGGACTATCCAATAATATGGGCAGATATTTTTCCTCAAATAAGTGTGAAAACTACTTTACATTTAATGAGCTCTGGAGTTTTGTTCACTGTTTTGCCCCGTTCGTGTGAATAAACAGGAGAGGTTTTAAAGAAGGATTTGGTGAAGCTTCTGAAGAGAAGCTGGACGTACAACTCTGGCCGACAATCTAGTGAGACCTTCTCATGCCGGAAAAGGCATTGGCCCTTTCATTTCCGGTGTTCATTCACCTTTTGTTTGCACACGATCATTGGTTTGGTGCCTTCCTATTGATTATGGCTAACTTTTGATCAATCATTCTCTGATGTGATGTTTGCAACTCAAATTTCACTCTTAAAGCTTAATTAAGATGTGGGCATCAATAGGCTAAGTTCAAGAAGAGGAACAAGATAAAGAAGTGAAAAGCGAAAATAATCAGTGCATCCATTCAGGCTTCTTTGAGAGTTGGGATCATTCACCTTTGTCAAATGGTAAAATTCAATTGTTTCTCTTTATTGGCAGCGAAGAAAAAGAAAGATAAGGTGAGAAGGGTTTTAATTTACATAATAGTCGATTTTTTTTGTATCTAGTGATTTGCGGCTTCATCTCCTTCAATCTGTTCATTTGTAGGGGGACGATGCTTCTTCAAAAGCTGGTGAACAAAAGAAAGGGGTTAGAGCCCTCCAAATTAAGCTCGAACACCCGATGCAGCCTTTTGAGAGTGATGAATTGAAATCAACAACTTTTACTGTCCCTGTACCTGTTGGCTCTCAGGAGGATTCTCTTTGCAATGTTAAGGTAATCAGCCATGAGAGTCCTGTTGAATGTAAAGCAGCAGAGATAGCATATGAAGGGGAAGATGAGCATGAAGAGAATGCCTCAATTAAGAGAGAATTCTCCGACTTTGATCTCCAAGCCCATGTGGCCAATTCAGGTGAAGAAGAATTTGATTTCAGAATCAAAAGGGTTGCTTCTTCAAATTCATTTGAAACTGAAGCAAAGGAAGAGTTTATCTGCCAAGAAGAAAAAGATGCTGAAAAGGATGTTGATAAGATTCAAAGTGGACATATTAGTGATCCAGGGGTCGGGAGGGCTGAGTTCTGGGCTTCACCAAAGCTTAAGCGCTCTTGCTCTAATTTGGAGACAAGGAATGTGCTAAGAAGAGTAGCTGATCAGTTGCCTCCTTCTAAGTCTCAGTCCTTTGAAGAATTGCAGGAGTTATCTGCAAGAGTAAGGGACGATTTTAATCCAGGCAGTCCTGCTTCAGAAATGACTCGTTACAGTGCTGACAAAGTGATGTTGAAAAAACATTCTTCCAGTCAAGTTCTGCCTTCCAGAAGCAGAAGGTTATGGTGGAAATTGTTCCTATGGAGCCACCGGAACTTGCACAAATATTGGACAACAAAACCACAGCCTCTTCCTGTCAATGTTACTGTGAACCAGCAAGGTGGTTACTCTTCAGATACAATTGAGCCATATCGAGCAATGAAACTGAGCAAGATGGAATCACCTGCATCATTTAGTGAAGAGTCCTTGAACAAAGACTTCATGCGCAACTGTGATGAAAATCAGAGCTGGAACGTTTTTAATCATAGAGTTTCTGGTTTATGGCCCCAGAACCAATGGGTTGCATTCCCTACTCCGTCATCATCATCCTTAACAAGAGTAGATGAATGGGTGAGAGATCTTGAAACCCAAATCAAACATCGTGCTGATGATGTGAATGGTGAAGAGGGCATAACCTTTCCACCTTCTCCAGGCACTGGTAAATCACCAGCAAGAAGCACAGCCTACTTGACTCGCCGTTCAGATATCAATCTGCCTGATGAAATTTTACATGCAAATAGTGTCATTCAGACGCTCAATTCTTCCTCAACTGTTGCTCACATTGCAGGAATAGGTTTGAAAGCAATTCCAATCATCTCAGGTTACTCCAGCCTTCGGTCTGTCAACTTGTCAAACAACTTTATAGGTATGTTCTAAAAAAGAGTTACTGATTGTTGAAGATGACAATTAGTTTGAACTCAGATATATGACTATGATTCTTGCATTCTTGGCAGCCCATATTACTCCAGGATCACTGCCAAAGGGTCTTCACACGCTCAACTTGTCAAGAAACAAGATCAATACCATTGAAGGTCTTAGAGAATTAACTCGGTTGCGAGTAGTTGACCTCAGTTATAAACGCATCGCTCGAATTGGACATGGTAATTAAATTAGTGAACCTGCTTCCGAATTTTTGATAAAAATATTTTTCTAGATTTTCCGTAGACATTCTCCTTGCATAAATTAGATGCAATTCTAAAAGTGCATTGTGGTTTTTTATGATGTCAGGGTTGTCAAACTGCACATTGATCAAAGAACTGTACCTTGCTGGGAACAAAATAAGTGATGCCGAAGGGCTACATAGGCTTTTGAAGTTGACAGTATTAGACCTGAGCTTCAACAAGATAACAACAACAAAAGCACTGGGCCAGCTTGTTGCTAACTACAACTCATTGCAAGCATTAAACCTATTGGGAAATCCAGTTCACAGCAACATTAGTGATGACCAGCTGCGCAAGGCAGTTTGTAGCTTACTCCCTAAGCTTAGATACCTGAACAAGGAAACCATGAAACCACAAAGAGCGCGGGAAGTGCTCACGGATGATGTTGCCAAAGCTGCCCTAGGGAGAGGCAGTTGGAGCTCTCGAAGAAAAGCAGCAAAAAGAGCAAGCCAAGGTGGATCGACGTCCTCCAATGTGCACAGAAGCAGTACGGGCAGAAGAAACAAGAATAAATGAAAAAGCTTTATCTGTGAAGTCGCCTGCACATGCATCTTCATCCCGTTAGATATTTTACCAGTAATTTACCTGGAGAATTCAAGGGACCCTAACGACTGGTTGCTATGTAGACATCTCTATTCCCCCTCGTCATGTTGGGGTTGTTTTTGGTAATTTGATTTGAGTTTGTGTGGTGTAATCAAGTGTTACTGCATGAACTTTTGATTTCTATTTTGCTCAACTTGACAGGAACAGTTAGATGTTTTGCATTTAGGCATGGTAAGTAAATCAGTCAATATAAAGATTATTAGCATGAAAACTGAGTGTTTACCATGTCCTGTTTTCAGTCCTATGCTTTATCAAGGGACGCTAAGCAGCTGAGCTCGCCACACATACCAATCTCACAAACAGCATATCAAAGCCAGAAATATACCATATCAAATAGGTTATTTAGGAAGTTGAAGACTGGGAAATGGATACATGTAAATTACAAGATAAACTCTCCCAAAGGTAGCTGAGCATAATGGGAGATAAAGTAGCAATAGAACTCTAATTGATTTTCATATAAAAATGTGTGATTTAGATATTAAAGTCATCTCACTTAAATTGTCTTTGCACAGACAAAAGACAACTAGTTGAAGAGCTGCAATCTAGTGAAGCTTTTATATTGGACTGAACTAGAAACGGAGGCTATCATCACTGTAGGAAATGGAGACCATTTTTTTCCCCTTTGCACTTCACTTTTATGGATTACATAATTAAACCCTTCTATTGTACTAGAATTTAGTATCATTTGTTTACATGATCTCATATAAAATGAATGTAACTAAGATGAAAACTCTGAAGCAAATGTGCTATGGTTCACTTTTCACCAAGTTACTACAGGTCTATAGCATATTAAGCAATAGCAACAGGGAAAATGATGTAAAGAGTGACAATAAATTTTCTTAGATAAAATGTTTAACAGTGTCTTAACCAATTTAATAGTGACATTAAAAAGGTAGGAGTTGTATCACATACACTTCATTTCATTTTCTTTTCCCTCTAACAACAAGAAAAAAGAAAAGAACTGTTTGCTTAATTGATTAACTGTGGAGATTACTGCTACAGTTGGATATTAGTAAGTGCATGGAAGTATCAGCAACATGTAGAAAAGTACAGGAGGGTTCATTCTTGAAAAAGACCTGTAACTCCATCCACTCAGTATTCTGCTGTCAACTGCAATCTTGAAACTCATCCTTAGTTATGATCCAGAATAGAGGCCCTGATTTGACAGATCAACTCAAATGAAACCAGCATGTTTCATTCAGAGACTTCCACATGAAAGAAATTGGATTTTCCCAGTAAGACTCGGAATTTGGGCATGAATATGATATTTTCTGTCAAGGTTCAAAATTACGGAGTTGACTCAAAAATAAAAAATCTACACCACTCATTGAGAATTGTTTCCACTCACCTAGCAACCTATTAAAATTCAAATGCAATGCTCCTAACTTGACTCTAATGTTGAAAGAACAAGCATATTCTTCCCAATGTGAAGGATGCAGGACTGGAACCTCGCTTTTCATGATTCTGGCCGGTAAATCAAGGAAGGCCTAAAGACATTTTTTACATTATAATATGTCAGTTTAACCCCACGGTAGTTAAATAAATGAAGCCGGTGAAAAACTATCAGCCAAATGGAGGCCCTTAATAGAATCCTTCTCATCATAAACACGGTAGATTTCAGGACATGCGAACAACGCCACAAGGAAAGAAAACGTAGCCAGAAGAGATTGTGTATAGACGAAGCAGGAAATTAAGCTTCATAAACCACATACGATGTTTGTTACATAGCTCTTGAAGGGTTTGAGCATAAATTTGAAATCTAATTTTCAAAACTGACATAAGCCAAAAACATGGTTAGGAAACTATAAACGTTCCAACAAGATCATAGATAAATCCAGCGGTAATTTTAACCACTACCACAGAAAACTTGATTCCTGATACATCTTTTCATGTTATCATTGATCATGACTATCATGATCATTTGAACTGTTGAATTCAATCGACTCGAGCTTGGAGCTCCTATGCATCTTTAATTATATCCAACGCCAGGGAAGCATCACAAAGTTATTTTGATCACGAGATTAACAAAAAAGAACAGTGCAGCATATTGAAAATAATTAATCTTTAATACCTTACATAAGTACAATGCACCATCCATCTTGATCCTAAAACTCTCTGCCCCTCCTCCAGCAGCTTTCCCAAGCCCATTTTGACTCTCTTAATTAGTAACTCAATCCACATGATTAATCATTAAAAAATGTCAATCACCTTTTAATTTCACCCCAAATCCAGACCTCAATTCCTCTTCTTTTACTTGAGCGAACTTATAAAGCTTTTCGTTGAAAACCACCTGTTGGATCCTTATCAATTAAATTCCCATTCTCATCGTACCCATCTTTCAAAAACACTGCCCGGTTCGTCTCCATGCCTGCCAAATAAAAAGTCCAAGGCTGTCTCTACTCTCTTCAGCGTCTCGTAAGTCTGCCTAGTCAAACTAAACTCTTCCTTAAACTCCACCAAATGATGTATCAAAGCTCTCTTCTACAAAGCTAAGCTCAAAAACTCATATAATTCCGACCCTATAATTTTCCGCTTCCAAACTCCACAAATCCAACTTCAACCCATCAGAATAAGGCGAAACCAACAGTAATGTGTTTAACAAGTTGAGTTTCTTGACATCATTTTCCTCAATCCCAAATCTTTCCCATACTTAACTGGAAACTTGAAAGCTTTCTTCAGGTTGTCTTCAATCACTAAAAACTCCCTCTCCAATGCACTTACAGCCAAACTAGTATCCCAATTTACTAACTCAAACCACAAGGCGAAAATAATCAGGATACTTCCTATTTTGTCCCTGAATCTTCTGGAATTCCAAATATAAGCCCTTTATGATAAAGCTTGCTTAAATGAATCCGTTTATTTTTCGATATCATCAACAATTTACGGGTTTTCGTGACTCGATCTTGTTCCATGGTTTCCATGATTGATTGCTCCTCGAGGACTAATTGATCCATCAAATCAGTGAACCCGAGCCAAATTTTTTGTCGGAGTGGCTGTAGGTGGTGAAGAGCAGCGGTTAGCGGGCAATGGATCGGGCTAATTTGCGGCCGCGAGAGAATCCGAGTTCGCGATGGAGTTTGCCGGCGTGGTCGAGGCGGAGGATTTATTCGGGTTGTTTGGAAAGATATTCTTTGGTTTCGAAAGGAACCGGAAGGTAGCGTCGCGGTCGAAGATGGATTCGAAGTGGAGGACTTTGTTGGAGTCGGGCGTGACGGATCGGGTGCGGGGAGAGTCGGGTTTAGGGCGCTTGGGTTTGTGTTTTTTGAGGGTTTTGGTTATGAGGAAAGAGGTGGAGAAGGAAGCCGGATTTGAGAATTAAGGATTAGGGTTTAAGAGGGGTTTTGTGAGGAAGAAGAAGCGCCGAGCCATGACGGTTAGGTTTAGATTGTGAATCTGACCAAAAAGTAGTCAATTCCGACCTGCCGGATTCGAACCAGCGACCTAAGGATGGCTAACAGGTTTTATCCCACTACAGTCCTCCGCTCTACCAACTGAGCTAAGGTCGGATGATACAATTGGCTGAGCCTTAGTTTTATAGTTAATTAAAGTCATTCATTCTATTTTTTATTACAATTTTTTGTATTAAAAGTTAATAAAATAAAGAATTGTATTGAATCTATTGGTAAGAAATGCTTGCCTAATAAATTATGATGTTGTGTATGAGGTAAACAATTATTATCTGAACTAATTTAAAAAAAAAAAACTAATTAAATTGTTTGAATAAAAAAGATACGATTATTTTTTAATAATCATGTAATTTATTAATAAAATATTAAACTCTTAATTTCATTAATTAAAAATCAAAATTTGACCATTTCAAATATAATAAAAATACATTCACTTAATAAATTGTCAGTTATCACTAAACCTGGAAGTAAAGGCGATGGTTGCGCAGTTGTTACATCCGGCTACCTGTATCCTCATTTGCCCATGGAAGGGTAAATTTGAAACAGCATGATGCTGTCAAGGATGAAAACAATTCTCTTTACATCTTTTATCTTAATAAGGACAATGGATGAGAACATTTTTGTGTCGAGAGTCATTCATCAACCTACCAAAAGCTGGTTGTTTGACTGCATTAGATATGGTGGGCCGGAGTCCCCATCTAACACTGCATTTTCACTTTAATGCTACCTTCAAAAGCGTCACCAAAACTCAATCACATGTATTCAGTTGTGCATTTTAATAATCTGCTGTATACTTTCCATTTAAACATGTAAACCTCTGACCGCAAAACATTCAACTACATGCGACAAGCAAATGCACGACTCTGAAAAAGAAAACGATTCAATTGACCTCTGAATTCTGATCAATGAAACTAATCAAAATGAGTTTCCTTCCATTGAATATAAATGATATGGAAGGAAAAAGATAAAATGAAGAAAATTTTTCATCATAAATGGCACTGCCAAAGGATTTTTTTTTTTCCTATGCTGCACAGTTAGTTGCACTAGCTTATTCTGTAAATCATCTTCACAATCTTAATCATGTGGTAGTATAGTTCTAATGAGACATAACATGAACATTTAAATCGAATCCTATACTTCCCATTTGCAATGGTGCCTCGATTTGAGTAATTACAAGGCCCTATGTATGCCTTACGGCTCCATAGGAGTTGTCTTTCTGCTTTCTACTTTCTGTTCAAAATATATGGTATCCCCCTTCCATGGTGGAGCTTTATGATGATTACTTAACATGCACAAAATGAATTTGAATACCAAGACTTGGGTTTCTTGAGAAATTGTTCTCAGATTGCTTGTCTCTTAAAGAAAGGTTTCTGACAGATAAGGAGTCTGTCCTCGCTGTTACTTTCAATTTCTATGATTCTGGCCTCCCACTTCAACCGCGTTGTTAGAGCTCTAGCTGATTCAATAAGGGGAGTTGTGTCACGGATTATTATCCAACCCTGCACCAACCATCAAATGTATCACATATTAAAACATAGCAGTAGAAAACAAAACCATTGGAAGTATTTGAAAGGTCTACTCATATTTGATAGAATTTAAACAATCAATTTGCTCTGTCACTCTTTGGATGACACAACAATCAAGCATTTCCTTAAATTTACCATTTAGATTATGTGAAAAAGATTTACAAGGTTAGCATAATACTCATTGGCATATATGTTACAAACATATGCAAAGTTGTTTGCATAATACCAGTGTACGACTCCTATTTCTAAGATCTATCCAAAAACTAGTTTTTATATATGGCGAGACCAGAAAGCATCCCTAACAATCCTGAGATAATCTTATGCAGTGTAATTAATTAAAGATCAGCACATGATAGAGAAGTAATAAGAGACTGCTGAACGTTTCGGCTTTGACACAATACTTTATACAATACTATTTTGAGTGACAATGATAGAAGCTTCTCTCTGATCATGTGATCTCTTAATTTCAACGAAAATCTTTAACCAGCTATCCAACCATTGTCACAGATACAAATGTTCTTACAGATTTTCAATCTACAAGAGAAAAGTAACTTTAAATCCCATAAATATAGCAAAGAAAAGTCCTCAACTCAACTAAAGTTAGGGAGCACCAATGGAATGAGAAAGTGCTTGCTTCTCTTCTCCTTTCCCGTGTGTGTTTATGTGATTATAAGTTACTTATAATAACAAGAAATGTGTTTGGCGTGTAATCACATTAAGCATTAAAATTTTATCTACCTATGGTCATTATTATGTCATTGCAGGAATCGAGAAACTGTAGAAGGTAACCATAAAATAAAAGGTGGCCTGATTTGATAATTGACAGCATGATTGTAGTACCTCTGGACGAAGCAACCGGTCTATCTCAGTGAATATATCAAGCATGGAGCACCTCCGATGTTGAATAGTCTCAAGAGATAGAAGTCCTTCTGCATGCACCATATCATAAGTTCTAGGATACGTTGGAAATGCTTCACACCTGAAAGTGATAAAGATGGATCATAAGACAAATAAAACATTAAACAAAAGGGGAAAGGTATATGTTGCTCAAAAAAGCATTATTATGGCATGCATGTCACATCGTTAAAAGTAAGAGTGGTTAATCAACTGTGAACAAAATAAAACAATATGATGCCCTAACTTCAAACTCAAGTTTCTGTAAACACAATCAAAATGTAAACAGAGCAGACATCCTCTAGCAGAGTTTGCTTCAGTTCAAGTCTTATGAATGTCACATTTAAAATATATAAATGTTTTATGTAATTTTATTTTACAGGGGAAAAAGCATATTACTGAAGTATATTAGTGCTGAAAATCATTATTTGGCAGCATAGGAATTATTATAAGGAATATATTAAAACAACACAGCAAAACAATAAAAAGAAAAAAGTTCAGCTAGAGAAGAGAATTACCAATCATGTAATACACCAACATAGCCCCTGTCAAGAATCAGGGGAAGAAAGTAGTTGGGTCCACTTGTTGGGACTACATTCATGACCCAGACAGACTTCCCTGCTTCCAGTAAAGCAGCATTTAAACCACCATAGCGAGCATTCATATCTAGCACATTCCTGTGCATGTTATAAGGTGGAGAAGGATCCTCATCACCAGGCCTCTTTGGATGGTCTGAGAATATTAGGGGTGACAGAAGAGACCAATAATTACGAACAGCTGTTTTATAGTTTGCAGTATCCTCAATGAGTTCTTCTGAGTGTAGACCTGATAAAATATAAAAAAGATTAGCAAACAGATAAATCAGTGTGGCAGTCAGAAATTAATTTCATCATTGCTTATCATGATGGAATTGTTACTTCTAACATAAGCATGCAAAGAACATCAAATTACCATATAGAGCTAGTTCATTCTTGTTCAAGTTAGACCTAGAAGGCCAGGTTGCTCTCTCCTCAATAGGAACCCATCGGCGGGTATGCATACCACCTATACAGTTCTGAAGAGGTCGATAATATGGAGATTCAACATCTTGTCCTTTGCTACAGATAGAAGGACCAGAACCAGGCTTCCTGGACGCATAAATGATTGGTAACAACAATCAGGACCACCTACTGCTCTCAGGTAATAAAGATTTCCAATGATTCATATATTCAAAATACATTCATTTTTGAAGAAAATGAATGTAAATCAAGCAAATTGCCTTACCGGGAGTTGTAACAACTTTTTTTACTGGTCTTTTTCCACACAACAGTTTCATCTTGTTGAGACATCAATTCCCAGCAGAGACTTTCTGCAAAATCACGAACTAAGTTCCACGCTTTCTGCTTCTCTTTGTTACGGAGAAAACTCTGAACATTGATATGAGGTGAAGTCCATACAAAGTATCCACCGGGCTTTAGAACTCTATCAACTTCAATCAAGAAAATACCATCTGTAGCACACATTTAGCATAAAAGTTTAATTACCATCTCAGACACAAAAATGTTGACAGAAGTCACATATAGGAGTCAAAATATGTTTACAAATTAAAATTAGCAAATATAAGAGCTGGTAAAGATGTGGCAAATTCGTAGAATTTTAACAGAAAAAGTGAAGTTGACCATGGTTTTGACATATTAAGTTAAATTATCCACCGGTTGGCAGGTGTGAACTGCCAACAAATGCATCAAAACGCAGTGAAAATGAATCATTGGCTAGGGATTATCATATACAGAACATTTAACCATTTTTTTCTGTCCAATACTTGTAATAATAAAACATGATTCAAGACCTATGTCTATGTCCAACAGAAATTGCCTCTATTAACGTAAGAAATCATAACATACCAGGGTAGGGGGAGGGGGATGAAAAGATGGGGAAAGAAGCAGCATATTCCACATGAGCAAAGTTTCAAACTGTTAACTGATACCTTTTTTATCCCAGTCAACACCGCAGCGTGCACAATGCAGCATATCAAATGAAAGAGATGGATATGGTAATTGTTTTGAATTGAAAGAACCAATCATTGCAGGAAGGCCCCTTTCAAGAGTGAGTTGAACTTGACTTCCCGAGGACTCATAGTTTGCAATGCACATGGTTAAGAGCTGTTTGGAAAAGAGATGTGCTCCAAAGCTACCATAACCACATCCTATATCCAAGATGGTTCTGACCTGTATCAGTAGCCTTTATATTCAGACCAGGCAAGGGGACTAGCCTTAAATTAAGACGAGGAAGGGGGACTAGAGTATTGACAATGCCAAAGAAACTAATTGAATGATGGCACTTTGAAATACCAGTCTTATTCATGGTAGCTATTAAGAAGGTTTTAAGCTATTTCAGCCAATATTGTCAAAATTACAATGTGCAAGCCAAAGGTGGCAATTAAATGTATCACTAACAATTTGCTCATACTGTCAAGTAAATGATGACTTCAAAAAGTATGCCAACCTTGAAGCTAAACAGATATAACCTTACCAGAATAAAGACAGTAAAAATTCGTGAACAATGGAACAGTACAAGCTCAACAGGTATGTTCAAGGAAAATTCCCGCTTACCCCAGCTTGTATGAAGTTAGATTCATTTCTCAGTCCAATCATTTCAGCAATCTGATGGGAATAGTCTTCTACACCATCAAACATAAGTGATGCTGAACGGAACGAAATCTGCTCTTCCTCCAGCATCATCATCCTGCAATTGCATAAACCAAGGAGTTGAAGAAACACTTTTATAAGAAAAAAGAATGGGGAAGGGGAGGGGGAATGAAGACAGTTAGATGCGAAAGTTGACTGAAAAGAGAAACATTCACTCACCTCTTGGTTAAACTGCCAGAGGAAAATACCTCTTGACCAGTAATTTTAACGTTCGCAACCCAAATGACATCTCTCCCAGTTGGCCACCTAAGAGGAATTTTATAGTTCACAGGTGGAAGAACTAAACAACTTTGCCTTGACGCATGTCCACATAGTCGATCATACTCATTACCGTCAGAATAACCCAAAGCAAGATTCTGTGAAACGTTAAAGCAAGGAATATAATTCTCAGATTCCTCAGCACATAATTCTATTTCTTTCATCCTTGAAGGACCAAGAGAAAGCTCCCCTATATCCAACAAATCTGAAACAAGCTGCTCTTGAAGTCGCCTATAGCCATGAAATATATGACCTCTAGAAGATGTTGAAATGGAAAGTGTCCACCAAAATGATCCAGTGAGAGCAAGAATTACAATCACAACTAAACTTGACTTCAAAAGTAGCATTGTTAACTTAAGTCGGCTTCTTGGAGTCCCAACACTGAAGGGATCAGATGCAAAACCATTCACAGTGGCACCATATTTGGGAGGAGAATTATCTGGAAAAAGTAACCGAAAAGGAAACCTGAAGGATAAATAGCTCTGATCAGAAGAACGATTTCTATCCAAATCTTCCTTTTCTGTTTTATCTTTCACTTGGGAGTCCCAAAAATCATTGCTGTTGCCTGAGATCCGTATTCCAGATACACCCCGATGCAGAGGCCGAGCCATTTTTCTAACCTGAAATCCCCCGGAGGAAAAAAAAGGCAAACTTTCAAGAAATAATTCAGAGAAGTGGTTAAAGTTGAAACCAAAAAAAAAAAAAAACCCACTGAAATTACTTTCTGAAACAAGCTATCCCAGTAGCATTCCTCTCAGAAACGTTAAAACTTTAAGAGGTACAAAAATGGTTTAACTTAAGCAAAGAAACTCTGCACTAAAATAATATCAAAATGAGATCTTTTCCCAATTTTAAGAAGAAGTGAACCACTGAACCTTTTAAAAAACAAATTTTAAACAGTGAAAGGAAGAAAAAGAAGAAGAAGAAGGAGGAGGAGGAGGAGGAGGAGGAAAAGAAGAAGTGGCTTTTCTAAACGATTCTAAGACTGAAACAAAAGAAGGAAAAAATAAAAGGGAAATTTAAGATTCGAAGGAAATAAAGGAAAGTAAAGTAGATACATTTCGATAGAACAAACTTAGAGTGAGTTCCGCTACCTGAAAGTTGTAAAGGGTAAGCACATTTCCATTCAAAATCACATCTTTTCCATTAAAATTCACTTCTATTTGCTACCCAAAACTAAAATCTAATGAAAACCCAGATTAAAATGAGCAAAACCCATTTTGGATCAAGTCATTTGTAAATCGAAGTCATATCAAATCTAACAAATTAAAAAACCATTAGAAAACACACACAAGAAAAAAAAAGTACCTTCTTTGAAGGAGCAGAGTTGCAAATGAAAAGATATCGCAAACCAGTCTTAAAATCAGCGAAATTTCATCAAATGAGATTTAAAAAGAACTTTTCGCTTGTGTTTAAACAACAGAAGAATCTATTTTGTTCTTCTTGTCTTGTTTACGGGTGTTCCCTTTGATACTGTAGGAGTGTAGACGATTGTTGTATCAATCCAACCACGATATAGCTCGTGAAAAAGCTGAAAAATTAAACTCTTTTTATATAATCGTAATAATCATTCAAGGAGAAAAAAAAAATTGAGATGGTATGAATTAAATACATGCAAAGTTATTAATAAATGAAGATAGACAATTTTTTTTTAATTTTTAAACTCTCCTCCAAGCTTTCATCTTCAGACAGTGTTCTCTACTACTAATAAACGCGCTAAAGCGCCACCGGTATACTTCCAGCCAGCCAAACTGTAAATTTCAATTACTTTATTTTACTGCTGCTCTATTAACCAAATTCCAAGTCACTAATTTTTTATTTAATTTTTTAAGACTTTATGAAAGAGAACAGATTAACTATATAGACTAGAGAAAGTGTGAAAAGGAAAATAAAAATAATGAAAGAAGTTCCCTGCAAAGTAGACTCTCACCCGCCTGTTTTTCAGTAAAATTTGCTTCACTGATCAGCCTGAAATATTCCAATTAACACTAAAAAAATTTGAGATGAAACCTGAGATTCAATTCATTGATTCATTAATTGTTTTTTAAAGATAACATTTAACATTTATCTCTGTCATCTCTTCGTTTATGAGGACACTTGTAATACGTGTTGGTATGCTCGTCAACATTATTTTATGTGTGAATAATGGAAATTTTGGATCGAGATATTGATGCTATAAAACCGACTGTAACTTATGAACTAGGTATGTACGTAGATCTAAGAAGCAGAAGAAGAAGACGAAGAAGCCAGTGTAAACCTAATTTCCAAGACTTTATTTTGTTTATTATAGCCTCATATATACTTGACTTGTAGCGGAAATGCTGGACTCTGACAAACCCTCATTATTTATTCATGATAAAAAATTCATGCATTCCATGTAGCTCTAGAGTGGCTCTACTGCTACATTTATTGTCAAATAAACACACCGCGCATGGTCTAAAATCGAAATGAGAAGATGAACCCTACCTAAATTTCCATTTTCTGCACGGCATTTTCCCAACTATGTTCAAACAATAATTTTGGAGGACACCAGCAGATCGGTATAAGTCGAAACTACCAGAAATGTTAGGAAAAACAATTAAATTTAATTTTCGTTTGTTTCGTAAAAAAAAATTTTTTTAAAATAATTTTTGAAAAATTTTATACTTTTTGAATTGAAAATTTTTTTTATTATTTGGATGAGTAAAAAAAATATTTTTCGTTGTTTGATTATTTTTTGAAATTTTTGGTTTTTTAATAATATTAATATAATTATTAAAATATTAAAAATTATTTATTATTAAAAATATTACTTTAAAAAATAATTATATTTAATAATAATATTTAATATTAAAATATTATATTAATATAAAAATACTTAAAATAAAACTATTTATTATTCTTTATATTATTTATTAATAATATTTATTACTATATTATATTAATAGTATATTATTTATTGATAATATATTATTTATTGATATGTTATTACAATATTTATTAATTAAATTAATAATATTTATTATTATATTATTTATATAATAATATTTCATTAATATATTATAATATCATTTCTTAAAATAATTTATTAATATTTTGTAATATAATATTATTTATTTATTAATATAACATTATTTATAAATAAAATTATATTAATAAATATTAATAAATAATTATACTCATAAATAACTCTTTTTTGAAATTATATTTTTTTTCAAATTCGTAAATTAATTTTTTAAAAAATAATCTCATTTTCTATTAATTAATAAATTATTTTCATTGATTAATCAAGTTTTTATTAAATAAATATTAAAAAATACAAAAATTATTTTTTTAAAATCATTTTTTACCAAACAAATTTAGCCTAATCTACAAGATTCACGTTTGTTTTTGTCTCCAGTTGAAACACAAAAACATTTTTTTGATCTCTTTCTCTGTATCGATGGAATTGGACTGTGCTTTTTCTGAAATGATTTCAAGTATTTTTTACCTTTGGACCTTGGGAAGGTTTCAAAAGTGCAGAAAATCTTGAAGACAGATTTTCCAACCTGTAATTACTGGGGGCAATCATTTCCAGGACCAAGAGTCAGCTCCTATTTACATATGTCTTTGGTTTTGAACAAGGTTCCCAGTTGCAAAACGACACCTTCCCCCAGCCAGCACTGATTATTTTAAGATTTCTGGTTCAAGGTAAATGATTTTTCATAACGAAAATAATAGAAAAATAAAATAAAAGAAAGCGTGTGAGCCCCTCTTTGACAGACAGGGAATGAAGGAGGAAAAGGATGATCTTTTTGCCGAGTGAATCAGAAAGGGAAAGGGAATCTCTTTACATTTGGAGAAACAATCCTGTTTTCTTCTAAATTTTTTTCACCTACTCGTATGGAATGCGAGGATAAACTTGAAAGTGTAATTGTCATAATTCTACATTAGGATAACATAATTATTCACTTCTTACAATACTTGCAAATAATTATTTTGAAGAATTTTACTTCTACTAACAGTGAATAAATGTACTTTTTAAGATTTTTATTAAAAGAAAATTTTTTTTAATTATAATTAATGTATTATTTTTTTAATTTTAATAAATGATCATTAAACTACTGTTAATTTATTGCGTTTAATGTGATAACATTTCTATAACTAACACTATTTTTTAAAAAACAACTATAAAAATCTTATTACCATTTACTTGATGGTTGAACAATGTCTCGTGTCTAAATCAATATCCAATTTTCATTTTATTATATTATCTACTCGCATAGGATGATGTGATTGGTGAACTTATGCATCGGATCAAGGTCAATTACATGAACTTTTGGTTCAATATAAATACGAGTTTGAATATTAAAAGACCAACATAGAACTTAGTAATATAAATGCGAAACCTAGGAGAATTTCTAGTTGTGATAACAAACAAACCGGTAACAAATGTCACATGCAACCGGTTCAGATTTTGAGCAATTTGTTATTATTATTTTTTAAAGGGTCGGAGAACAAAATGTGGGACCCGCTTTGCGCGTGCCTCTGTCGGTGAGATATAATGACGTGTCAGTTATGGAGGCGCCAGCCAAGGTTACATGCGATGCAGAGTTGTTTGCTAGGTGTTTTGGCATCCGGCGAGAATAGTTTGAGAACCCGACCCAAAGTAGTTTTCAAGCGTCAACGTTAAACTTTTTGGTTTGGATGGAGGGAAAGGAAAACCACTTTGATGGTCTTGAATTTACATACGACACTGTTCTTCGCTTTCGTTTGAAAGCAGGAAGTTTCAACCACAGCATTCCAATCCATTACGTTAATAAACAAATTATTTTTTAAATTTTAAAGATCAAAATAATATACATTTTGAAGTTTGAAAACTATTTGTATAATTTACTTGAGAAAAAAATCCAGTTTATGTAAAATAAATATTTTATTATATGATTATTACAAATTTCTTATTGTTATAATTGAGAACAAATTTATTATTTGAAAAGAAATCAAAACTTATTTTTTAAATAAAAATTATATACATCGATTATTAAATCAATATTTAATAAAGTTTTATTAATGAATTATTTTAATTTTTACAATGATAACAAGATGAGGATATTAACCTTCAAATTTATGGATAATTAATTAATTAGAATAGTTTTGAAATCGGATCCAACTTCCAATTAAATGTTGATATGTTTTTATCACATATCAAACCAAAACTTATGTTTTATTAAATGGCTGTTCCTATAAAAAAAAAAGGGGGGGGGGGGCGATGAAAACTAATGAACATTTACCTGATAGTACTATAGTTTATTTGTTGTACTGATTGGCGAAGGATGTTTTTTTTCTTTCTTTTCTTTTTTTTTTTTCTCATTTTGTTGAATTTAAGAAATTAATAATGTCAATGAAACGTCACTATTACTTTGGTGTCCCTCCACCTAAAACTTGTTCATCAGTCCTTCACCATTCAATCATCTTTCAATGAAAAATACGTGCATGGATGGCGTTTCATTTCTATAAAAAATAAGATTCAAAATAATGTATTTTAATTTCAACATTATAATATTAATTATGATATGATAAATTTTATATTATATATATATTTAATATAAAATAAATGAATATAAATACATCAATCGACAAATATACTTTGAATAAGATCTTAAAGGGTCCATTTAAAAAATAATAATAATAAAATCAAACCTGCTTTCAGAATTCAGATTGACTTTCGTACAGAAATATACACCCTACAAGTTACCATGTGCTCCTGTAATAGAATTTCCAATTGCACGCATGGTACTGGAATTTGCCTGTTCTAAGCTTATAAAGCTGCTATGGTGGGGTTTGCTTTGCTCCTCTGCCTGCATTTTTTTTTTTTTTTTGGGTTAATTTCTATGGTGAAAAACCTTTGTGATAGTAACATAATTGTTATAAAAGTTTTAATTGAATATATAAAATTTTTAATTAATAAATTTAATTTTAATTCTGATTTTGTAACTACGATTAAAACATATAAAAATGCCGTGATAATATTTATTTTCAAAATAAAATTCTTGAAACGAAACTTCTTAAAATTTTTACTTTATCATTAATCCTTTAATCTCTATCTATTTAATATATTTAAGATATTTTTTGAACCCATAACCTACAAAAATCGAATCAGCTGAATTAGTAAGACTAGGTTGTTGGCAGCTATAGCCATAATTTAATATGTTAAAAGCAAGTGCGCATATTATATGGGTACGCAAATTCAAAGATGAGGATCACATTCCACCATACATTTTCGAAGTGGATCTTGATCCTCCTTTGACTTCATGGTTCCTTGATTA